GCCTCCCGTCTCCTCCTGGCCGACCTTGTGATCGCAGCCCCCGACCACCAGATAATCCTCTTTCGCATCGCACTCCGTGAAGCGGATGTACTTGTACGCCTCTGCCTCGTCGTACAGCAGACAGTCCTCAATCGACCCCTTCGGCACGCGGATAGCAATGCAGTACGTGCGCATGTACTCCATCTCGGCGATGACACTCAGCTTCTGCAGCGGGACACACGTGGCTTGGACGACGTCGTTGGCGGTGATCGTGTAGCCGTTGAACGTCTTCACCTGGACGAGATCCTTCTCCTCGACGGACATCATGCGGGTATGGGTGAAACACTGGAAATTGGGCTGCTGGCGCAGCCATTCCAGCACCCCGACGAAGTACTTGGTGGGGTGGAAGGTGGCCTGGTCGGCGAAGACGGCCGCGTCGCGCTGGTCGATCGCGCCGTCCCAGCCCTTCACGGCGAGTCCCTCGTGGTACGAGGCCCGGAGGCCCAGCTTCTGGGCCAGATCGACTTCCTCCTTCAGCTCCGCGATCTCCTGGTCGTGCTTGGAGTCGCCGCGCGGGTACTGCGAGATCTCATAGGCCGGCAGCGTGCGGTACTCGCAGTCGATGCCCAGGGACTTGGAAATCTCCCCGACGCGTTGTATGGCCCAAGTGTGGCTCTCGGCCGCGGCCCGGGCGCCCTGGGACCCGTGCTTCTTCTGAATCTCGGTGTACCCGTCATCGAGCGCGTTGGAAAGGTGGCCGCTGGTGCGGCCGGACTCACCGGAGAGGACGTTGCGGGCCTCGATCATGGTAACCCGCTTGCCGCGGTTGACCAGCTCGTACGCGATGGAGATACCGGCGATGCCGGCCCCGACAATGCAGACATCGGTTTCAACATTCTCATCCAGGACAGGGAAATGTGGATACTTGGAGTAAGGCATGTGGCGGACCCAGACCGGGTCCGTCTCGCCGGAGGTGTTCATGAATTGATGGGAGTGTTCCGCCATGGTGGCCAGCTTGCGGGAGGGCGAGGTGGTACTGGTCGAGTATCGAGAGACGGTGAAGAGCAGCTGGTAGTTGACACGTTTGAAGGCGCTGTGTCGGATTGCTCTATGGCATGTGACGCTGTAGACGTTCAGAGCTTGGAGCATGGCCGGAGCAATGCAGTGAATTTGGAATCTGTTGCTTGGGCGTTTTTCTGGGTGGTCGGCATGGAATGCATATAAGCTTGGGCTATACTGAATCGCATCACGATGACCTAACGGTAGACCCAGCTTCGATACGCTGTTTGAGCGCCGAGAAGCATGACACAAACATGACAGGTGCGAATGAGCTGCGTTCTTGTCGCTAATTGATGGGATACATTACCCGGACACGATAGAGGGAGCAGGTGGGCTGCGAAGATCTCCGCAGAACAAGGTCACTGCAGGTCGTCGGCCAGACCCAGACGGCGGGGATCTAATCGTTCTACGATTGGATTCGATGGACCACTCGAGTTCTAAGTTCCTTGATCCTCGTTCCCCAGATTGCATCCGACGATCACGAGTTCAGACTAGTTCTGATGGGTCTCCAGCGCAGAAAAAGCCGGAGGCCATACCAGCCAGTCAAGAAGATTCTCGATACGACCAAGACTTAATTGCTCCTTGAAACAATCTTCCTCAATTGTGGTTTCTGCTGGGAAAGATTGATAAACGAGAGGCTGCTATAGGTTGATGGCTGGAAGGGGGGATGACATCACAGTGACCGGTTTCACCAATCAGTCGTGACGCCATTCAGTGAGTGCATCTTAATGATCTTAGGGATTTATCCTTACCTTGTGCATCCAGAATAGTACTTACGGTGTTGATGAATCCAGTAGCAATGATAATGGTTCTCACCGAGACAAATAACCTTGTACCCAGGATCATTACCACAATGCCTCAACCAAAAAATACTCCCACTCCCAAAACCACCATTACCACCACCATAGCCCCCCCCTCCCCAGCAGTATCCCCAAACCCTATTCTTCATCCCCCACCCCAATAACCCCATCCAAGTTTCCTCCCATTAAACCATGTAAACACCTAGGGCTTTATGTCCGGGGCCTGAATTTCTGCCAGGACTCCTCGAACCCGGATCCACGAACCCACATATCCTCGGAAACGATGCCCACAGAGTCCACAGCTAGAAGGAGCGTGGTCAGCTGAGCGATCTCGGGAAAATAAGAATTGATAGATCTGGACGGCGAGAACGAAACGTACCCATATTCCCGATCCGCAGCCACATGTCTCCTCGGACGGGGAGATCCCATGTCGATTCCTGCGGGCGGCACAGCTGCTCGGCGGCTGCCACGGTGCGGACAAACTTGGACAGGTGGCCGTCATCGGAGGGGTGAAGGTAGCTCTGGGCGAAGACCTCGGGCCAGCCCAGGTGGATTGGATACTCCAGCACATCGCGGGGCTGCGGCTCCGGCATCTTGCGCGAGGCCCAGATCAGCAGATCCGTGCGCCCTTTCATCTCCAGCAGGCGCGCTTTGTTGGCAGAGCTCAGGTACGGAAGGTCCGTGAACACCTGGAAGAAAATGGCGAGGTTCACGGCGTGGATGAAGAAGAAGTCGAGCTTCAACTGCTTCTGCGGATGCTGCGCGGTCGCAGTCCAGTAGACTGATGTGTTCGGTGGGGTGAGTTGAATGTTTCCAGGGAACCAGGATCTCAAGAGAGAGGAAAGCGAGAGAAAGACTCACTGGCGGCGTTGATCATCTCCCCCAGTTTTTCGCGGATTTTGTCCTCAGGGACGGTCCATTGAGAGCACGCCCGGATGACCTCGGCGCCGGCTCGCTTCAAGATACCGTCTGCGAAGACCTCCGAGTCACCATAAACGGCCGCTTCACGGAGGGTCTGGTTGGCGCGCATCTCGTCCATGATCTCCATGAGTGTCTTGGTTGGGTTTGGGGCGCGCGCCGCCGCCGCCGCCGCGGGCTTGTAGAAGTCCCCGCCCAGGTAATCCTGATGCACCGACGCCTGGGCCAGCGCCTGCGCGACGATCGCCGGCTGCTGGAACTCGATCCCAAACCCTAGGTGGATGATGGGGTGGACGAGGCCCGCGAACAGCCGGGACAGGAGCGACTCCGCCAGCTCGTCGCCGCCGAAGAGGTACTCGTTGACGACCGCCGCGACCCCCTTTTCCGCGATCACGCGCTGGAAGAAGGCCAGGTAGTTGGAATATTGGTCCTCGTGGTACAGGTGCTTCATGAATTCCTTCTTGTCGGCGAACGACTGGATTCTGGCCTCGTCCCGGGGAAATGCTGGTCGTTGGCATTTCGCCTCGCGTTTATACTGTAACTCGATGGTTTCGGGGGAGGCTCCCAAGGCCCAGCTCGTGAGCATGAAGTGCACAAGATGATCTGGCGGGACCAGGTGAGTATCAGTTGATGGTTACCCCGGCGCCCCCTAGCGTGCTTACTGTGAAACTCAATATCATTGCGATAGATGTGATGATTCTCCATGTCATGCTGGAGCACCTCGCTCACTTTGCGAGCAGATGCCCAGCTCAGTCCGGATGAGCTGAAAACACCACTATTCTCCGGGGTTAAGTAAATCTTGGTAGAGGTAGCCATTTGCTGATTTGATTCTGGAATGACCAGCCTTTTTTGATGCTTTTGTGGTTTGGACCAGGAGGAGGAGGATGGGATACAGGAAGCTATAAATCATTTGACTGTCGTTCTAGATCAAGACTGATGGCGCCACTACTCGAAATGACGCCAGTTTGCTTATTTGTTCAATAGAATTCATAGCTCTTAGTTCCAGCTTAGAGGAAAGTCGAGCACGTCCCGGTCTGAGGTGATCTCGGCTTAGAAATCGACGTCTGTCGCATTTCGCATTTCGCATTTCGCATTTCGCATTTCGCATTTCGCATTTCGCATTTCGCATTTCGCATTTCGCATTACGGCATCCAGCGGCCCCCAAGAGGCTCTAAAGAGAATTTCTTATTCAAACCCCGACTAAGGTCACTAAGACAACCCTAATTGACGAGTATGTATCAATCTTCCTCAATATGCGAGACTGTCAGTCATTCTGCTGGAAGCTTAATTGCTCTTGCAGCAACATCGGAAAATCCTCTTGGAGGCGCAATTCGACACACTCACGCGCACGGATCTACCTCTATCGTACCTCGGCATAACTTAGGCATTTGTCTCTAGAATTACTCTCTGGAGGTATTTAAAAGCAGCTTGTCCATCCATACCATTATTGAATGTGAATCGTGGTATGGATGTCATGTGATATGCGATAGAGATTCGGCTCTCGGGAATGAGATCTTGTTTCTTGGTCCAGTTCTCCTTCTCGCTTCCCGCTTCCCCCTTCCCCAACCCACCTTTTGCTGCTGATGGAGATCTACACTCACCACAAACATTCCAGATCATGAGATCCACACTTGCGTGTCATTGGTGTCGGTGAGCTTGATGCCCATATGAACCAGGAATCTGGCTTCTAGTATGACAGATGAAGTGGCACCACAGCTCTTCATTCTGGCCCTCGACTTTGGCGCTGACTATGAGCGTTGGTCCAGGAGTGCGAAGGTCAAATGCCACCACAACGGCTCCCCACCCTGTCGAGCTTGCACACTGCATCGCGGACGCGAATGTACTCTAACAAAACCCAAGCATGCATCAAATCGGGTGCGCGTCTCTGCCCGTCCCCGGAAGGACAGCGGTGCTCGTATTCCTGATAACCTGGGAGTCGATCCGTCTCGGGCAGACCTCTTGTCGGATACTCAAGAGGCTTCCCGGCGTCACCTCAGCCAACGCCATCCTCCCTCTCTTCTCGACTCCCAGCAGTATCGTATGCCGGAGGACAGCGCGCCCGAGTCGCATTGCAACGAAGCATCGAGGGGCCGAACTCCTTTGACTGGGTTGAGCAAAGAAATCGTCGAGCGTGCGTTCCATACTTTCATCCGCCAGTTCCCGGAGTTCAACTTCTTTCACCAGCCCAGCTTTGTCCTTGACCTGGATCAGCATCGGATACCTGATCTGTTACTATGTGCCATCCTGGCTGTGACTGCTCGATTTATCCCGGAGGTGCTCAGACAGCATGGCAGTGCAGCTAGAACCTCCAGAATCTTCGCTGACTACGTCCGGCAGCATATCATGCAATACAGTGCACAAACTATGGATCTCTATTCATGCCAGGCACTGGTCATGCTATGTCTCTATGACTGGGGCGAGGGCGAGGGCTCCCGTGCGTGGATCTACAACGGGATGGCTTCTCGCATTGCGCATGGAGTCCATGCGGCGAATCAAACTTCCTCGGAAAAGGATGTTTCAGCGGCGCAGACATTTCGCCTGGAGGAAGCGCGTCGAACCGTTTGGGCCTGCTACTTGGTGGATGCTATGATCGGGTGTGGAAAGTGTCATGCTTCCAGTCATTCGATGAGTGTCAGTGAAATCCCTTTACCGTTGGGGGAAGATGACTTCGCATTTGAGGGCAGGCCAGTGGTCACACGTGAGCTACTTCTGAATATATGGGACCCCGAAGAAGAGGACTATCGCTTCCAGGCATTCTCTATAGACCGGTTGGGGTGCGACAGTTTCCTGCTTCTGATAATTCAAGGCTTCTCTATATGGCACAGAATCTCGGCCTGGGTGTCGGCGGGTGGCCGCAAGCGCGACTCGCTTGCTTCCAAGGAACCGCCATGGAAGAGCGACTCTTTCGCTGCGCGCAGCTTAGCCGCTTTAAATGACTGGCGTGGGTCACAGCATCCGCAATTGGTGTACTCGGGCGCCGGGGTGAACTTTCGTGTGTACATATCCCGTGGGGAGGGGGAGCGCTTCGCCATCCTGAACCTCATCTACTATCTAAGTGTCATCTTTCTGCATCGGGAATATCTTCCGTTTGCGCTGCCGATCATCAACCGCGCGGCCACGGACCCTGGTAGCCCGGCACTGCTCTCAGAGGACGCCCCAGACGGATGGTGGGAAAGATGCTACCAGACCACGTCTGCCGCTGCGGCAAATATCATCACGATCATGCAGGAGCTCGAGCAGCGTGGTATCGAATTCCAAACCCCCTTCACCTGCTTCTGTGTCTTTAGCGCCGCGGCCTGGATACTCTGCACGACGCAGGACGCGACTCAAGGGACACGCATCGAGAAGGCGCCGGACGGGAAGTCTGTGTCCGACCAGCTGGTCTGGGCCTATGGCTGGCTCGGCCGTGCCTGCAAGGTCTGGGGCCTAGCCACGGGCTGGTATCGGACTTTGCTGACGCTGTGTCAACTCTACCGCCAGCTCAGCCTGGACCTGGGGTACGAGATGTGCCCGCCGGATGAGGTCGTGCTCTCCCTGGAAGAGAACATGCAGCGTCTCGCGGGCCTGGAGACAATGGAACGGGAGGGGGATATTCCGACTGCCAATATTCTCCTATTGCTGCAGCGACAGCAAAGGGAACATTCTCAGAGACCTAGCGAACCACGCTCGACCACATATACGAACGAGCCCCGTTCGGCCGCCACCGCGCGAGAGGCGCAGGATAATCTTACTGACCCAATCATGTCGGTGGACCCCATGTCGGATGCGGAAGTGCAGATGGCGCCTCTGCTGACGTCTCCTTTCCTTCTCGACCAGGACCTTTTCAGCAGTGTTCTCCACGATACGTCCGGAAACTGGTTTCAGTCATTCGTCAATAACCCCCAATTTCCCGGGGGTTGAGGATGAGAAAGGTACTCAGAATAGAGGGCGTTCTTATCCTGAGCAGTCTTAGTCTTACTGTGGACTGACTTGTGCCGCCTGATTCGAAAAGAACGAAGCTAAATCTATCTCAACACGTTGTGAGGAATGCGCTATCTTGGAAAGCTTGCTCTTATTGTTACCGCAAGGCTGCCGCGTACTTTGTGGGGATAAATTCATCCGCCGTCTCTCCCAGTATATCTCTTCACAAGCGACACTGTTCGCTAAGTACGATGCTTGGCCTCCAAGTGTAAATGTACGATGTCACGAGAAAGGCGATGAGCTCAATGAACAAGATTGGGGCCAGCTGGGCCAGATTTTGCGATATTGACTCCTCCAAACCAGGTCCCCTATTCCTCGTGCGGGGCGTTTAGTGTGATTTCCTGATAACGACAACGTTAGTACTCGGTACTAATGGCCACCCCCCTCGCCTCTACCGAACACATTTACCCTGGTACAAGGGCGCAAAGCAACCTCTGTCCAAGAATACGCAACAGGTTGCGAATCCTGGAGTCATCCGTGTCGTATCTGCAAGACAAATGGAACGTGTTGAAATGGAATTGAATTTCGAGTTTCAATTGTTTTGGTCATCAGACATCACATACAGTATCTAAAAGCGCTAAGAACAAGAATGCAAGGGTATCTCGTCAAACCATACATCACAGCACACTCCACAAATACAACCTCATCCTCCAACCCCCACCGGGGCAGAACATCCTCAAATCAAACCATCATCACCCCCTTCCCCTCCTCCTCCCCCTTCTCCACCCCGACCACCGGCGACGCCGCCAGCGCACTCCGACTCCGCAACCAGGGTCCGTACCGCCAGAACACCACGGGGATCGGAATGAGCACCGTGGCAATGCACCCGAGCAGGGTGCCCGCCCACTGCACGCCCAGGTTCTGCATCAGCTGCCGCGAGAAGAGCGGGAAGGCACACCCGACGGCGGAGCGGAGGATGGTGTTGGCGGCGATGGTGGATGCTGCCCTATTTTTTTCGTTAGTACACATTGCTTTTCTGGGAAGGTCAAGGAAGAGGAGGGTGGGGGACGTACAAAGTTGGATAACAGTCGACAATGTAGTTGAAGCATTGCAGGAAGATGCAAAAGATGCCGAAGCCCGTGAGGACGCCCGAGGCCATGGGGACGAGGTAGTGGATGTGGGGGTTGTAGCCGGTCCAGCCGAGCCTATATTACCACAACCGATATTAGCGAATGCGGGGGAAGAATGGGGCAGGAAGTATAGTGCATTGCTATACATGAACTCCAAGGAGGAGAAAGAAACATACCAAAACATGCCCCCAGCAAAGGCCACCGCGCCGACAATCGCAGCGGGCAACCGCCACTCCGGCACGGGGCGGTCCCCATTGGCGGCCAGCTTGCGCTTATAATCGCCCTGCAGGAACAGCACAAACACGCCGCCGAGCAACTCGCCCAGAATCAACCCGACAAAGGCCAGACCCCCGACCCCGGCACTCATCCCGTACACCCCCTGGAAGATGACGGGGTAGGCGCCGAGCAGGGCATAGATCAGCCCGTAGATGAAGCTGATGTACAAGGAGATCAGCAGCAGGATGGGCTCGGTGGCCAGCATGGTCAGCGGGCGGGTGAAGTTGTTGCGGACGAGCTCGTGGACGTCGACCTCGACCTCGTCCTGCTTGGCGTGGATGCCCCAGTTGCGGGTCTGGCAGCGCAGGCGGGCGGCCTTGCGGACGAGGATGACGGGGGCGTAGGTCTCGTCCAGGAACAGCGCGACCAGCACGAACCCGGCCCCGACCATGATGGCGGGCAGGTACAGGGTCCAGCGCCAGCCGAGGCGGCCGTCGCTGGCGATGAAGCCGCCGACAAAGGGGGAGGCGAAGGGCCCGACGAACACCGCCATGCAGAAGATGGACATGACGATGCCGCGCTGCGCGTGGTTGAACAGATCCGCAAACACCGCCGGCACGATCGAGATCGGGCTCGCCGCGAACAGGCCCCCGAAGAACCGGCACAGCATGATCGTCTGCACGTCCTTGCCCGTCGCCGACGCGACCGTGAAGATCCCGCACCCGAACAAGCCCAGCGCCAGCGGCCACCGCCGCCCGATCAGCTCCGACGCCGGCGCCCAGATCGTCGGCCCCGCCGCGAACCCCAGCACGTACAGCGTCACCCCGAGCGTGCTAACCTCCGTGCTGATCGAGAATTCCCGGCTCACGCCCGTCGACGCCGCCGAGAAGATGGCGCTGGTGAAGGAGGCGGCGAAGGTCGAGTAGCAGAGAATGGCGACGAGGATGGATCTGTGGGGTTGGAAGGCGTTAGTGATTGGGACGTTCATGAGGGTTTGCTGACGGGGGAAGGTTTGCTGGCATGCCATACCTTCGCAGGATGGACCAGTTATACGGATGCAGGGGATCCTGTGCGCCGTCGAATTCGACCACATACGTCTCCGGGTCCGGTAGTAGCGGCGGATACTCCTTGCCCGCGCCCATGGGCAGCCATTCCTCCCGGGGCATGGGGGGTCGCGTCGACCCTACCGTCGCCTTCTGCTGCAGTCGATAGGTGTTGATGCGGGCCAACTCCAACGAGTCGGGGTGGTGCTGGTCGTCCGCGTGCGGGGGCTCGTCGAAGGAAGACGAGTAATCATCACTGGTGCTGTCCACGGGCGTCGTCTCGGAGAAGTACTTTTCATGATCATCGTGGTGCTCCATGGCGAGTGGATGATGCCGGTCTCCGGAGTGTATGTATGGGATTGATGTCTATCACACTGAACCAGAGAGAGAAAGGAAACCCAACAGCTCAGGCAGGCCCGGATTGATATATCTACTCACTACTCCACAACCCTCCAACCCACCAACCCACTTGTCTGGCAATGTGTGTTTCCACTTTTATCCATCATCTCTAGACTAACGACGACAAAATTTTCCAGGCCTCCGCCCGTGGTGCCATGATCGAATTCCGAATGGCCGATAGATAGTCTATCAGTGCTCACACCAAACCACCAGGGCAAGTAATGTTGTCGCGGGCCGAGAAACTGGTTCGTACTTCACTTGTTGTGCTCCATCTCTTTCCGCTGGGCCTGGATGTCTTACTACCTCCAGCCACATCTCCGAAGGAGCTTGTTCCGCCATTGTCCAATCAACGATTTCAATCCGGAAGGTACGCGACGGGTACTTTCGGAAATGTGGCTCGGGCCAGGCACACCCGCGCGGCACTGTGGCTGATCCCGACGGCAACCGAGGATATCCGCGACGCTAGTCGTGCAGAAATTTGATCTATACCGGTGGTCCCTGGAGTGTACTCCGTAAAAGAATCTGATTGTATAGTCCCGAGACCCAGACCCAGAGATAAGAGACCAACGTTGCAGCTGTCGGTCGGGGCAGCAGAATTTCTCCTCGGGAGAATTAGGGGCCACGCGGAATGCACTGCACGCGCGGTTATCCTCGCTGTTGTTTTCTCTTACATCACCTGTCAGCCGTGCGGTTGCGTCTTGTCTAGATCTTTCGAGGCATCATTGAGGATAGATGGCAGAGTTTTGAGATCATTCTGATTGCGTCATGCATCTCTACACCATCTGGCTGACATCACAGGGAAGAACTATCAGGGCATATTTTTTCATGACTATCAAGTCTATGACCGTGCCATTGTCATGTTTTGCGGCCACCTGTGACCAGCTCATTAGACTCGCTGATGCCATCTATATCTGACCCGAGTTCGTAATTAATTATGCACGCATGCAGTCTGGCCCACGGCGCGGCCCTAAAACTCGCCAGGGCCCTTGCCGAAGTGGCCCCCGGTCGGGACCGTCAACCACGGCACCGAGTTGGTATCATCCGTGTCCGACCCAACATTGTTTCCCCACCAGCTCAGCGTGATCCCGTTATAAGTCAGCGCAAAGAAGATAATAATGGTCGCGATCGCCGTGCCCGTGTCCATGGCCGCCTGCAGCAGATCTGTGAGTCATGTGATTAGCGCGATGTCCATTCTTCGACGTGGACGACTTCCCCAACTCACAGTTGTACTTCTTCCACCACAGGAAGGCCCGTTTGCGGATGAGGTGCATGAACACGTATCCGAAGATGAACCAGAGAGAATATTGCGCTGCGGGGTGTCAGTATGTTTACACCAGAGAGAAGCAAGGACGGGCACGGACTGGTGTTGGCAGGCGGGATGTTCCCCGCGCCATTGAAGAAGATGGGCACATTGATGTACTTGACCCAGCTGTTGGGGTAGCGGCGGTAGACCAGCCACACAGCTACGGTCACCACAGGCTAAACATAACGTTAGGTCCACCGACACGGGGGATGGGGGAGGACTTACTCCGATGAGGAAGAAGTACATAAGCGCGTTGTACACCTGCCCCGACTGGAACATGCGTTGCGGGCCGATGGTTCCCCAGATCAACGAGGCGTTATACATAACCTTAGCACCAGCACAGGTGAACTTCTGCGTGTTCTTTGGGTCACACAGCCCCGTGATGTTGCCCATCATCCAGCGAAAGACTAGCGAGTGTCAGCTTGGGGTGTCACCTGAACTGGTGGAGAGAACATACCGCCGGTCTGAGTCATGGTGGCTAAGATGCTGGAGTAGATCTGGGCGAAGAAGAGGACCCGCGGCGGAATTTTCTGCGCCAGTTAGAGTTGATCCTCCAAACAGACATGTTGGACACCCACCATATATTGTCCCAACTTCAGGTCCTGTGCAAAATCCATTCCATGCTTGACCGAGTTATACCCATAGCACTTGACCATCATGTTCGCGATCGGCTTTCCGGGCCAAGCATATCCCGCAATCAGCTCGGTGATGATGTTCAGGAAGACACGCTGGTTGGTGGTCCCCTCGAGGATTCCCTCGGGCACAATCAAGAAGACGCACATGCCGCAGCACACGACGATGAAGCCCCACACGGGGAGGCCGGTTTCCCAGTACTTGACGGTGAAGATGCCCAACCCGGCGGTTACGACGAACAAGATCCCATACCAAATATCGGGGACCTCCCGATAAGCATGCATAAGCCGCCGATGGATATCCTCACCGCCGTGGCGAGAGTTCTTGAATTTGGCCCAGATCTCCGAGCCATTGTACAGATAGGTGTGCACCACGACGGCCGTCACAGCGGCGAACGAGAGGCCGTAGGTGAGCGAGTAGGACATGGAGATATACATGGGTGAGTACTGTTCGTACTTGCTCAGCACAAAGTCCAGGTTTTCGTCGACAACTCGAGAAACATTGTAGGAGCTTCCGGTGTTGTCGAAGGTGGAAGAGGAAAGCAGGGGCAGGCTGCGAACAAAAAAATTAGAAAGTACTAATAATTTGGTAGACCATGGCTCGGCTCACTATGCACTGTTCCAGACATTCGTGTAGTACAGAATCGGCGAGAGGAAGAGATAAAAGAAGACCACCACCGCAAAGGCATTGCAGGTGATATAGAAGGGGGTCATGAGGGGGTATCCTGCATAATTGATCTGAGTCCAGTCGAGACTAATCGGAATCAATCCCAGGCCAGAATTCATCTGCATATGTCAGTCCCAACCCCACCTAAAAGGATTGCAGGAAGACTTACCCCGAAGATGGTGTTGACCTTCTGGTTCTTTGGGGCAATCCAGGTGGCAAAAGCGAACGTGCTCAGACTGGTCCAGATGTAGTCTGGGAACCAATAGATCACAAATCCGATGGCAGTAAAATAGGCAAAGAAGCGATAACGGCTCATCTTCCAGCCGTTGACTGTTGCGCGACTTTCCGGTTCATGGAGTGCTCGGAACAGCACCGTCGACGACAACGATGACGGCCAGATGAGTGCAGCTGGATAGACGAGCCAGCGACGCGCAAGCCCAGCCAGCCCAAAACTGATTTGGTTAGACAGGGTCATTACCAGCGACGGGAGCAAATCTTACCCTAGCATCTGGGACGTCAGGAGGTAGATGAAGGCGAAGCCTGCTCCAAAATCACGATTCCAGTACTGGGGCATCGTGATGGCTACAAGAGAGCCCGAAGCATATGCCGTGCTGGCACTAATGTTGACACACTAGTGATGTCAAGTCAGATGAGCTTCTAACACAGCTAGTGGATCGCACCAGCAACTCACAATAGTGATTAGAGCATGCTCCTTGATGCTAAACTTCCCGGGATTGATGTCGAACGTAAACCTGCCCAGGGGCACCCTCCACCTCGGGAGCTTCTCCCATGCTCTTCCAACCGGATAGACCAACAGCTGAGCCACGACATATTGGAGAGTGAGCGATGGCTAGTCTTGTCAGTGTTTACCCTCATGCGCAGAAAGAAGCCAGCTTGACGCACATAACGGAGACTGAAGAATTGATTGACGGCCGCGAAAATCATGACAAACACTGTGGTTAGCACCCAGGCGCGCACCGCTACAGAATATTAGCAGAGGTCCAAAGCCAACTCGAGAGCTCTGATGTACTGACTGTTGCATGGCGTATTAGGATCATCCGTATTGGGAACACAAGCAGCTACTTCGGGGACTGCACAGCGTTTGAGCGATTAGTATGTGCAATGCATTGGTCAAATGAAATGCGCCCATCTAAATCACTTACAAGGTGATTGATCGCCATCGACATTCCATGTAAAGGCCTCAACTGCAGTGACTTCTCGGATCTCGGCAACATTCACCTCCTCCTTCTCCTCGTTGCGCTCCAAGCTACTCCCATCAGCGTCTACTCCTGCCAAGTGAGTCTCAATCTCATTTTTGGGCTTGCCGGTGGCACCGACTTCCGAAGCCATGGTGGGGAGTTTGGAGTGTCACAGCGATGAACCTGAACCGAGGGGCGACAGTATGCGACCGAGCCGACCGCCAGGCATTTATAGTGGGAAGATGGATTCGATATCTAATCGCCACCGCGGGTGTATCGTGCAGCAGAGATACAGAGAAGGAGGGGAGCAGGGGGGCTGCAATAGTTGGAGGGCGTCGGCAGATGCTGGCTTACGATAGACCCACCCGATATGGCAACAACGCCTAAAAGCACACCATCCGCCCTAGACATTCCCTGCCACAGCCCAGAGGCCTTACTCCTTACCTACTAGGTACTCATGCAACCCTTACTTCTTGCTTCGACGCAGGGAAAGGTCATCCTGAAGTCTGCTCTCATTCACCTCTTTCAACTGCGACAGAGCAGATATTGAGACCGCACCGTCTGGAGGGCTTATCTAGCTTGACAGCCAAGGTCAAGATAGTCAACGACATTCTGATATCGCTCTTTTCGTGATTGGCCGAGCAAGAAAGGTATCAGAACCGACAGCAGGTGGGTAACGCTGTTCATTGCATCCGGGCCTGGCTGGCGGTCTTGCTTGCGTATTTTAGTTCGATTCTCAACAACTGGAGCTGATAGCACGACGAACCACGAGAGTCGCACGCCATCCAAAGCGGAGTCAAGTATGCTAGTTGCCGTCAGACCACCATGCAGCCATCAACCATCTACCCCACGTACGGGGGAAGAGGAGACAACAAGCATTGACACGGAGAGTGGAAGGTCTTTCCGCTTGCCAAGAGTGGTGGTGCAGTCCAGCGGCAGCCGTCGTGGCAACAGATAAGCTCGTGGCCAGCCCGCGAGGCACGGCTTGTCATACCCCGCTCGGAATTCCCCGAGCTCAAGAGAGAGAAGGGGTGGGCGACAGCGGCCTCAATTGAAAAACGATAGTTCACAGATGTCAGACGATGGTGGCCATCGACGAAGGGACAAGGCATGCTTCATGCATCGAGGGTCAAACGTCATTTGGGGCGCATTTTGCGTTGCACAGTCTCGTCTGCCCTATGAAAGTCAGTCCAAATGCTGCTGATTGTTTTTCCTGCCTCCAAATGGCGTGCTAGGAGAAGGACTCAGCCCGGAAGGTGGTGAACAGACCGGGCGAGAAATCGGTGCCTCCACAACAAACCGAGCTAAAATCAGAGCTTCGACCGGGCCGGCGAGAGACACCAATCAGCGAGCCAGGTTGAAGGCTCGGGTCAATCTCTGCGGACCACCCCATAATAAGCATAATCACCGCCCTCCCCTAACAATTACACAGTAGACCGTATTTATCTAACTCAGCGGCCATGATTCGCGCCTAGGCTATCTTCACCACACACACTCAGCCTGACTGAGAATTGCAGGCAGCCGCCTGGTATTTTTGCCGTACCGCCTGTCCGGCGATCGGAGCTCAGAACTCCGGGATCGGCTTATTCGAGCTTCGGTTGATATCTACGCATAGTCTGACTTGAATCCGGAAGAAGAGCCTTGAAGCTGGAGCCTGCATCAATGACAGAGAATGCAAGTATCAGGCTGGTTCGATGCTTTGTGTATTGTTCTAACCTAGTCTGCTGTGGTGAGAATGCTATCATCTATATGTTTAGGCCAGAGGATGTACGGGCAGACCGACCCACATACTGAGTATATATACGTAGGTATTTGTTGTACACATTTCGAAGCAACACAGAAGCTCAGATCTTATTTCCCCTCCGTCAGTCACAAAAGAGTGTCTTACGCCAGTCCACATATCACAAAAGGCTCTATACCATTTATGAGGACGGTATATGCAGTCACAGAGAGCCTGGTGCGTGCAGTGGTAGCACCACGCATGCGTTCAGAGCTGCATATGCTGGCATGGAACTAGCAATGCCACCAATTCCAACGCATACCCACTCTAGCTCGGCGAGGCATTCTGCAGGGTCCTGGAAGACTGGAAGTAAGCTCAGACAAAGGTTGTCGATCAATAGCCTTATAACAGAATATTCTACAGGTCTGTTCCATTTTCACCTCCGGAGATTAACTCGGACATAAGATCGGCGCACGCCGGGGACACCGACGGCTGTAGCTCGGAGATCTGCATGTCGCTTGCACGGATTTTATCTCAGGTCGCACGAGAGAACTAGAAACAATCTCTATCTCGAGAACCTGACATCCTGTCAATCGCCCCGGCAAGTCGAGTCAAGCATCTGTTGATTGCTCGGCTGTTCGGCTTGGTCTTGGCGGTTGCGGAAATATCCGCAGCTGCAGGTGAGACGAACATAACGATGGGCTTGTATTTGGCTAGATGACGTAGCAAGTCTCAGCCACGGCTCGTATTGGGAATCGCCTTCATCTAAGTTATTGCAGTGAACGCCGTTCAGCACTTTAAGCGTTGGGCTTGGCAGCCGGAGTTAGCTGTCATGACTTATCTCCTACGGGAATAACCTCCAGGCTGACACGAGGAGACAAAGAAGATCATCTATGAAGATGTATATAAGGAGTGCTTTCCGCCCGGGGACCATGTCTTTTCTCGATAACACAAAAGTGACTACGGTCTCACATTCACCAACACAGCCAAAAGCCAACCCCAGCAATGGCCAACAACACCGACCTCAAAATCGTCTTCGGCGCCATGACATTTGGCAAGCCCAGTACGCATCCACTACACCCCCCCTCCACTAACCCAAACACGACCCTAACCGAGAGATAGACACCCTGGGTGCGCGCGTCTCCGACAACGCAACCGCATCCACCATCCTCGACACCTTCCAAAGACACCGCCACCGCGAGATCGACACCGCGCGACTCTACGGCCACGGGTCGTCCGAGGAAATGCTCGCCGCGCTAGGCTGGCAGTCGCGCGGCCTGACCGTGGCCACGAAGCTGTACCCGAACGCAAGCAGCCAGGTCCCGGGGGTGGAGGCGTACACGCACACGCCCGCGGACGTGCGGCGGGGGCTGCAGGACAGCCTGGGCGCGCTCGACGCCGCGCAGGTCGACCTGTTCTACCTGCACGGGCCGGACCGGCGCGTGCCGTTCGCGGAGACCCTGCGCGAGGTGCACCGCCTCCACACGGAGGGCCGCTTCGCGCGCTTCGGCCTCAGCAACTTCATGGCCTGGGAGGTGGCGCAGATCTGCGAGCTCTGCATCCGCCACGGCTGGATCCGCCCCACGGTCTACCAGGGGGTGTACCATGCGCTGCAGCGCAGCGTGGAGCCCGAGCTCCTCCCCTGTCTCCGGAAGTACGGCCTCGCGCTGTACGCCTTCCAGCCGCTGGCCGGCGGGTTCCTGACGGGCCGGTACGCGCGCCAGCAGACCGAGTTCGAGGCCGGGTCGCGCTTCGATCCGGCGATCGTGCAGGGCGCGGTGGCGCGCGGGCGCTACTGGAACGATACGTACTTTGATGCCCTGGAGAGCATCCAGGAGGTGTCTGGGCGGTTGGGGCTGACGGTGGCGGAGGTGGCGCTGCGGTGGCTCAAGTATCATTCCGAGTTGCGGGCGGAGCTGGGGGATGCGATCATCGTTGGGGCCAGCAGTGTGCGGCATCTGGAGGAGAACCTGGCGGATCTGGAGAAGGAGCCGTTGCCGGAGGAGGTGGTCAAGGTGCTGGAGGAGGCGTGGGGGTTGATTCGGGGGGTTGCGCCGAACTATTGGCACTGATTTGGAGAATGGGATTTATGTTCATGAAGCGTTGAGATAGCGTTGTACAGCACACTTTAAATTGGAGGACGTATAGTTCATTCTATTCGAACGAAAGACTTCATCAACAATGATGTTCCATGCGATATAGCCCAGCCATTCGCTTTATATACAAGTACAGTATAGCCACATCTCAATAATCATAACATTCATAGTAATCCTTCAGAGGTCAGTTCTTGGGCTGATGGCTCGGTGCCCGTCCCACCCGGTCCTCTCCCGTTTGCCCTCCAACCATCGTCTGGGCTTCTTTGTTTGAGAACAGCTTCTCATCCTTGCTGGGGGACTGGGCGCGGAAGACGAGAGCGGCGCCGGCAATCATGCCGAAGATACTGAAGAGGGCGAGGTTTCGGGAACTACATGATGAAGTTATGAGTATCTGCCTTACATGCACTGTGGATGACAAACATAGTATGACTTACCGAACTGAGCCAGGGTGGCCGTTCGTGATGCCTCCGGAGTGTGCAACCATGATGACGATTGCTGTGGAACGGGGTTTGGTGGTGGTGGTGGTGGTGGTGGATGATTCTGGTTTCAGAGTGCTTGCTCTCAGGAGATGATCATTGAATGCAATAGCTTACCACCGCAATCGACGAGAGGACTCAATTGTTGATATATGCTGTGGTTGAGACTACATACACATGACGTCAAGTACTACATGTATATCCGTCGGATATGTTTCGTTCCGCCGGATATACAGAAGACGTGTGTCTACCATGGGATGCATTTTTTTTGCGTCAGGAAGACGTTGACATGAGCCCTGTGGATTTGGCTGATTCGAGTGGCGAGGGTGGTGGTCATGCGTGTCCAGATCTAAATCAAAATGCTCCTTCCAGGCGCTGTCATGCCATGACCCGATAAGCTTGAGCCGATAAGATGCTCGATCTTCGCTTTGAGTCTGCCCCATTTTGGTACTGTACAGTACAATCACAGAGCATTGATCGAGCCAGTCTTCTACGCGCTCAGTTATCCACCCATCATTTCTGTTCGTGAACTACACGTAGATACCATTGCCGCGTTTTCACTGTAGAACATTACATTGAGTGCGATTATGCTAGATTCCAGAGATCGAGAACTTCAGGCCATCGACTCTAAGCCTGACGCTCTCGAGTGCGCAATATTTTCTGGACCAACGACGATCATAAATTAAGACTCTTGGACCAAGATCAACCTGACAGATCAAATTGGCGTATACCTATAATCAATACCCGAGTATTGCATGAAACACACGCAGGCAGAGTCTTGCGACCTGCGGAAGATTGACAAAGTCCAAGCTCCAAGATCTAGACTGGGCCAGATCGACGTTCCCCGGTCCTCCACGGCTCCATTCCCACGAAACAGCTACGGCAGAGCTGTTCTCCATGATACTCCAGACAGAAACAAGCTCAATTCTGGCCACTCGCCATCATGGAAAATGTAAAAGGGACCATCCCCGTTTACCGAAGCTAAACCCAACCGAGCTCCGCAATCGGGGGGCTCCGCAATCCCGACGTCATCGATGCCGAAAACCGTCCGATCCCGATTGCCGCGATTCTGGAATCTGAATCAACAACATCCACAAAAAAAAAACCACCTACCTTTCTTTCTCATTCTTACCCCGCGCAACCCGATTCCCCTTGTCTCTTTCTCAGAACTACACACACATCAATAAAAATGTCACCCACAACATCAACCTACCTCTTCGGAGGTCCCAAGTAAGTCCCGACCAACCACAACCCCCCCAATCACCTCCACCACCACCACCACCGGGCAAGCCACTAACCCACCCAAAAACAGCCCCTGGACCCCCGAAGACTGGACCTCCTCCGACGACCGCGTCCGCGGCGGCGCCTCCCACTCGTACCTGACCATCACGCCTTCTTCTTCCGACGACGAAAAGACCACAGCCCGCTTCCACGGCACCCTCGACATCCACACCCTGGGCGGCGCCGGCTTCGCCTCCCAGCGCACGACCACCACGACCAAAGAATGGGACCTCTCCCGCTTCTCGGGGCTAGAGGTGCATGTCCCCCGCGCCGACGACAAGCGCTACACCCTCACGCTGAAGGATGAGATCCTGCCGAATCGGCCGGACGGGCGGGAGCGAAGTTCGCTGTCGTGGGAGGTGGACTTCACCGTACCGGAAGGGGGTGGGAGGTTGCGGTTCGCGTGGAAGGCGTTTCGGCCGACGTACCGTGGGAGGGAGTTGAGGGATGGGGTCAAGCCGTTGGATTTGGAGAGGGTGAGGAGGGTGGGGATTATGGTGAGGAGGTGAGTTTTTTCTTCTTTTCTCCTTGATTCCTGGGGGGGAGGTGTTTTGCTTTGGGGGAAGGGATTTGTGCTGATGGTTGTGGTTTTGTAGTTTCTTTGGGGAGCAGGAAGGGGAGTTTGAGTTGGTGGTGGAGTCGATCCGGGGGTTTGAGACCCCGAAGGAGGAGATGAGGTATAAGGATGATGTGTCTGCAACTACTTGTGCAGTGGATGAGGAGTATAATGAGAAGTGGGGCGAGGAAATGGAGGGGGAGGGGCTGAGTCTCGAGGCGCAATGGATGAGTAGCTCACGGCCTTGGGATCGCTTGAGGGCGATGTTCTGCTGTGGGATCTAGTATTCTTGAGTTCCATCAAGACGAAGGTTGGGTGAAGCTAAAATAGAAAAACAACACTATGGATGCGATGACCTTATCTCCCTTCCCCCCCCCCCCAAGCATACAGTCCATGCCCAACACAGTACAGTACACTGCTGTACATACTCTCACTCTCCAACCCCCGACTCACCCTCCCGAACAAAAGCCTCCACCACCCCAACCAGCCTCTTCAACCGTCTCTCATCCTCCCCACCCACCGTAACAGCTACATAACTCCTCCCTCCCTCCACCCCCTGCACCCAAGCCGTAACAATCATCCTCCCTTCCTCTATCTCCCTTGCAAAACTCTGCACCCACCCGCTTCTATCCCCAACAACATACAAAGGTGACAAAACCGCCACCTCCATCAAACCCCTCCCCACAAAATGCCCCCGCAACAACCCCAGATGATACGACCCCGTCACCCGCGGATTCACATCCACGATCACGTGTCGCCCCCCATTCTCCTCGGTCATCACATCCGCCCCAACCGGCCCGTAATACCCCTCCGCATGTAAACTCTCCGCTACAGCGACGACAACCCCCCAGTACCGCTCCTTGAGCCGATGCTGCGCAGGGAACGACACCAACCCGCCGCACCACTGGCCCTGCGCGTTGAACTGCTGCCGCGAGGCCGCGTGAAAGATCGCCCTGCCCGTCTGCGTGAGGAAGAAGGAGATGCCGTGGGCCTCGCCCGCCACGAAGGGCTGGAGGATGAGGGTCAGGGGGTGGAGGTGGGCGTTCTGCGGCGTGACGTGCGGGAAGGAGGTGTGTAGGATGGCGCGGATGCGGATGCAGGCGTCCGATCTGTCGGGTTCGGAGCGGATTAGAAACGTGCCGCGGCCGGAGGCGGCGACGGAGACTTTGATGACGAAGGGGAGGGAGGGGTACGTCTGGATGGGGCGGAGCATGCGGGTGATTTCTGCTTCGATGGCCGCGAGGTGGTCCGCTGTTGGGGGGATGGTGGGGTCAATGATGATGGAGGTCGGCGTCGGGAGGGACGAGAGTGCAAGCCACCGTTTGCTGAGGAGGTGGTAGTGGGTCTCCGGGGGTAGGATGTGCGGGAGGTGGGCCAGTCCGTCTTGCGGGACGATGATGGCGATCTGTGTGCTGGGCGGGAGGGCGATTGCGGAGGCGTTGCGGGGGAACTGTAGCTCTGGTCGTTGGGGTGGGTGCAGCTGGGCGTGGAGGCTGAGGATATCGGCGATGGCTGGGGACGGGGGTTGTTCTGGCTTGTTCTGGCTTTCCGCGTCGGTGGCTGCGGGGAGCGAGTCGAACAGAATGACGGGCGCGCGGCCGGCGATGAAGGAGTAGCGCTGCGCGATGCCGCGCTCCAGGATGTTTTGCATCGCGTCCGGGGCGGTGGTGTTGGGGAAGGTGATGCCGTACAGGAAGTGCTCGGACGAGAAGGGGTGAGGCATCGCCCGCGAGGGCTGGCTGGGGTGTGGGTACGCAGTCACCACCCCATGAGGTTCGTCGCTGTCCAGCGAGTAGAGGTCGTCGAGTGTGGTGTCTAGGATTATGGTCATGTCGGTGGCAATCATGATGGATGATGTCTTAGATGTAGATCTAGTCGTCAAGGGTCAATGATTGTACTTATGATTGACTCTCGCAATTTGACAGATTTACACCTGGGAAGGCTTCAGGTGTAGATTCTGTCTAGCCATACCATCGATTTATAGACGTCAATTGGCGTCATGAAGGAAAGGTCGACCGTTGCCTGATTCCGTCGGCGTATGTGTTCCGATCTATCTTCTATGGAACGATCCTAGCCAAGATGACATGTTACCTAATTGTTTCTCGGCATGTAGACCGACACGGCCTGCTTTAGGAGAAAGTATGAAAGACTCGTCACTGAGATTTCTGCTTCTGAAGTTTGTTGAGTGAGATAGTGCCGAAGGATGTGGAAAGGTAAGGTACAGGCAACGTGTCTCAGCCCCAGAACGTTTCGAGTCGACACTGCATCCTGCGGGAAGCGGTGGTGTTAAACTGGAATGTTATGGATCAGTCAAGCTCCTCTCCCCGGCAATCGATGTCTCAGGTCAAAAGTAAACAACCCTCGTGAACAAAAATATCGATTAATCACTAATTAAACTTATCAGGTCGGCATATTTAGGTATCATTTCACACATCACATCAATTACAATCCCAGAGCATTGAGGATTGCCTTTCCAACACCAGTGGCACTGGCCGGGTTCTGGCCAGTGATGACAGCACCACCCAGACCAGCGACCTGAGAGACAACAACCTTCTCGCCCCAGGGCTCATCGGCCTTGACGTACTTGCCGCCGGAGACGCGGTTCAGCTCCGTCTCCAGCATGAAAGGCATGATGGGGCTGAGGCCGACCTGGTCCTCCTCGGTGTTGGAGAAACCGGTGACCTCCGCACCAGCAAGAAGAGGCTCGCCGGAGGGGGTGGTCGCGTTAATCAGCACAGCAGGACCGTGGCAGACGGCGGCGACGGGCTTCTTAGCAGCAGCGAACTCCTGGATCAGAGCCAGGGACGTCTTGTCGCTGTGCAGATCGTACATCGCTAGTGGGAATCAGTACCATTCTCAATTGACAGGCTGGGCTGACAAAGAGACTTACGTCCGTGGCCGCCGACGTAGAAGATAGCGTCGAACTCAGAGACCTTGGAGGCAACATCGGACAACTTGACGGTGTTGGTCCAGAGAGCCTCCTGCTCTTTCAGGAACTTGGTCGAGGAGGGGTCGCTCTCGAACATCTTCACGGAGCTGGGGTCGAGAGGGGCCTTGCCACCCTTGGGGGAGGCGATAACCAGCTCGGCCTTCTCATGGAGAACTTCCCACGGGTGAGCGAACTCGGGCTATTGATAGTGTCAGTTGCTCGTCGTCACAGAAATTGATTTTTCGTGCGGATCGCGGGGTCCTCACCAGATACCAACCAGTGGGGTGGTTGTTGGCAGGGAAGTGGTCCTGAGAGGTGAGGACAACGAGAACCTTGGGAGCCATGATGAAAAGTGTATGATCAATGTGAAGTTGACTATATATTGTTGCACTCGATCAATTCCTCTTTCTTTGAAGTTTATATAGATGTTGCAGTCGCAGAAATGGATGACATCAAGAGCTCGACAGAGATTATTCAGCAGCACAAAACGGGAACGGGTGGGGCACAGGAGACTTTCCTCAAAACTGATTAGTCGGTTCTTGAGCTATCGGTGGGATTCTGGCCCGGGTGGATTCCTTCACCTCTTTTTCCTTACTAACACAATTTAAAACATGCTACTGCTTTCTCTGGGTTTCCAGAGGGGCTTCCATATCGTGATTGGATGTAGATCGTCCAGTATTCCCGAGAAATGGTCTTAAATCCGGGGTTTCATGCAAGCTGCTTACACCGCATGGGGTGGACCCACCCGTCCCACGCTACGCTGGAAGAAGACACCAATTTTCGAGCAAGTTCAGGGCGTCGACAAAACTACGGACGAGAAGGAGACTGAAACAAGCTCTTCGGAAGGATTTACAAGCAGCGGAGAGACACAAGTACTCTATACCTAGTACTAACTATAGATAAGCTTCAGGACTGAGCTGGCCCGAGATCCGAAACTAATCAGGTTAAAACATGCTGGGCAATGCTTGCTTGATAGCTTCAAATCGACGAATTGTTTCATGTCCGTGAGTCGTAGAGCTGGTCCACAGGAGTCATCAGCAATGCCGTGGTTGATTGCCCCGGATCACCCGCAAAGGACTGTGGAAGATTCGAGAATCGATTGCACAAGCTTCGAACTAGCTGGAGATGGCGGTCGACGCATTGTTCTCTTCAGGATTACAGAACTACAAAAGCACGACCCCTGGGATTCAATTCTCCGACACGAAGACACGAGGCAGGCACAAAATTGTTCTCTATAGATTTCTTCACTTGCTTTACCCACTTCACTATCCTCACAGATGAGCTGTATTGGTCACAGATGAGCCAATACAGCGTCTGCACCAGAAACCTACGTTGAAGATTAGCAACCCCTGAAACAAAGCCGGTGGATGGAAGCTGGCGTCTAACCTTGACTCCCTTCTCTGTCTCAATCTGTGCGTAAGTCACCTTTCCGTGGTCAATGATGATCGCGAATCGGCCGGTGCGGCCGCCGTTCGCCCAGCCGATGGAGTTGGCGAATTTGGCATCGGGGTCGGAGAGGAAAAGCTAGGCTCGTCAGATGGGAAGCAGGAGACTTGGTTGAACAACATACGATATCATCGCCCTTGATGTTATTGGCCTTGCCCCAAGCACTCATCACAAATGGATCATTGGAGGCAATCACAGCGACCACCTCCACTCCCTTCTCTCTCAGCCGCGGAAGGTTCTGGATGTACCCCGGAACGTGATTGATGGAGCAGGTGGGGGTGAAAGCTCCTATGGATTTGGATCGGCATCTTAGTACGCATTGTTCCACTTAGAGAGAAAGAAACATGGGGTAGATTAGAACGCACCAGGCACGGCGAAGAGCACAACTTTCTTATCGGCCCATTCTTTCGAGGCGTTGTAGTTGATGGGAATTCCGCAGGAGGTAATCTCGCCGCTCTCCTCGGTCCAGGGGATGTACCTATCCAACAGCTTCTCAGTAAATATTCATCGCTTTACCCTGGCAATTGAAGACACACTGGAACACAACGTCAGAGGGGAACGAGTCTCCGGGTTTAAGGGTCATGGTGATGTTAGACGGATTTGATTGTTGTTGATTGTTGGGCAAAAGTCAATTGAAAACGAGGGGGGAGGACGAGGAGAAAGTGCGGGGTTGGCGTTCTTAAGGGACCGAACACATCAATGAATCAGTGGCGGTTGATGAGTTGTTAATTTACTTGTTATGCAGCTCGTCATTCCGATGCGGTCAAGCGCGAGGACCTCGGCGCTTTCCGTCCGCATCCCGCATCCTGCCTGCCTCTGAGATACTTCAGCTCAGATACTCAACTCCGGAAAATGAAACAGATCAAAATCTATTCAGAACATACAAATCTATTTACAATAATGATCGTTTCTCATAACCTCACTTCTAGCCCCCCCCCCCCCCCCCCCCCCCCCCTACAGGGCCCGTCCAAACTGGACCGGTTTTTCAATGGGGACTCCCAGCGTCTTTGCAGCGTTGATCACCCACTCCGGTTCACGCAGGAACTGGCGGGCCAAAAACACCAGATCAGCGCGTGGGAATGATCCAGACAGGGTGGCCTCCGCTGCGCGAGCCTCTTCTGCTCCTTCCACAATTTCCTTCGCCTGCTCTGCGTCCGTGATGTATCCAACGCTGCCCACAAGCGTCGATGCTCCAGCTTCCCGAATTGCTTTGCGAATATGACCTGCCAGGTCAATCTGATAATTCTTGTTGCTCATGTGAATGTTCTGGTCCTTGTGGTTACCACCAGAGCTGACATCCACTAGATCAACTCCGAGTTCCGGCAGGTCCGCAACCAAGCGAACCGTACTGTCGAGATCCCAAGAGCCGGACTCGGCCGCCACAGCCTTTCCATCCAGCCACTCGACCGCGCTCACACGCACAAACAGTGGGGTGCCGCTGGGAATCGCCGCTCGAATAGCCGTCGCGACCTCCCGCAGAAGTCGGGTGCGATTCTCGAAGTTGCCACCATACTTGTCCGTCCGCTTATTGGTAACCGGACTCAGGAATTGGTTGAGAAGATACCCATGCGCTGCGTGAATTTCAATGACATCCACACCAGCTCGGACGGCTGCCTCAGCGCTTCTGGCAAAGGCCTTGACCACCTCGTCAATCTCCTCGGTGCTCAGCGCCCGTGGCGTCCAGTATCCCTCGCCTGTGCCGTCCCAGATATGTTCCTTCCCACCTGATGGCCCGACAATATCAGAAGGCCATCCGAATGCGTCCTCGTCCGACTTCAAGGTTGGCTTCCCGGCCTTCGTGGCTAACCAAGGAGCCGTCGTGCTGGCCTTGCGTCCGGCGTGGGCCAATTGCACCGCGACCTTGGCGCCCTGAGCGTGGCAGAAGCGTACAACCCGCTCGAGAGCCTTGACTTGCTCCGACTCCGGGGCTGTGTCCCACAGTCCGACATCATTAGGGGAAATGCGACCGTTCGGTTGCACGGCGCTCGCTTCAACGAAAACTAGACCGGCGCCTTTAAGGGCGAAATGGCCCAGGTGGGCGACGTGATAATCGGTTAGGGCGCCAACAAGAGGAGAGGACAGATCGGGTTCAGCGGAATACATGCACATGGGCGAAACCACAACACGGTTCTTGAGGGTCACGTCGCGGATCGTCAACGGGCGGAAGAGGGTCGGCGTGGCGGCATCGCGGGGTTGAACGGCAGCGCCGGCATTATTGGCGGGAGTGTAGTAGGGAAGGTGGTCGGCTTTGACCACGAGAGTAGAGGGGCTCATGATGGCTTTGGCAGGCACAAACAGTTGAATCTGGTAAGCGAATCGAATGTCATGCTAGGCTTGGACAATGGAAAGGTTCTTATACTTGCACCCAGCAAGCTTTACAAGATGGCGTCAGAGAAGTGTCGAAGGAGCTGCTGACAAATGCCGTGAGCACGGATGCATTATTAATTGATGTTATCGCAGGGCACTCTTTGAGACACGAGAAACTCTCATGATTTCCTGCGGCATTTACTGCGCGATTTCCTTGATGTCCCACATGAGTTTCTCCAACACTCCTGTCCGCGTTGACCAAATAGAATCGTGGTCGGTCCCTGGTATTACCACGGATTCGAAAGCCACACCACCTCCCAATTCGGCACGCGTAAAGCACTGCACAAAGTACTGCTGCCCTTTGGAGCCGATCATACTATCTTTGTCCGCAAAAATAGCTTTCAAACGCAGGGGCGCCTCTTGTGGATGCTGCTGCTTGTGATCCTGTTCCAACTGCCCCAATTGCCGGACATAAGCCGGGAGATCCTCACAAGCCCCCCACAGCCCCAGCGGCCCTTTCTTCAGACAGATCATCGCCTCATCATTGATGCCGGTGGAGCTTTCGGTAAACATGTACTCCATGGTGATCTTCTCTAGCTTCTCCACAGCTTCTACAGGCATTCCGTATGTGGTAAGACAATCGTCAGCTTCTTCGGGATCAAGGCTCTTGCCTATTCCGGGTAAGCTGGAAGACATATTCGTCAGGATGCCTGAACTGGCACCAAAAGCAGGTGTTGCCTTAGTCAAGGTGAATCCAATAAGTTTGTTCCACTGATTAAGCACCGCCTTAGGAAGCATCTGAGCCATCTGCATAGACAACACATCGGAATGCTTGGGCTCGACCCAGGGTGCTGACCGATCGGTTAGCAAAAACGTATAAGGTGCTATCGTAGTCACTGCCACTCACCGAGAAGCATTGCGGTTGGTGTCTGAGGCCATAGCAAATTTCTCTTGTGCACAAGCAAATTCAACAGGTAAATGGTGCCCGCGCTGTGCGAAACAGGCACCACATGCGAGATTGACAGATAGTCCAACAGCGCTGTCACAGTTTCTAGCCAGACAGAGACTCGCTTCTCGATTGGAACAGGCGTTGATCCGCCCAGCCCCGGGCTGTTATTCTTAGTCGGGTAACTTGACTTGCATCCGATTCGGAATAAATAATGAATACGAGCGAGCCACTTACCGATCGATGGATAGTATTCTGACTCCGATCACATTTGCTAAGTGGTCTTTGTGATAAAGCCATAGTCGGCTCCCTGCCATACCAGGAACGGCTAAAATCGTAGGTACCGGAGCTCCGTCTTCGTGCTGACGCGGCCCAACATCAGCATATGTCACAGCCAAAGGGCCATGATCTGCTGTCGCGGGGAGAATGAATCGCTGATGGAAGCGTCTCTGCGCGGTGAATTCGAACACCTCTGGAGTGTCTGCCATGGAAGATTTAGTTTCATACAGTAGGGATATTTGCAAGCATTGATGTGAGGGCAAGAAGAAAACAGCATGAGGCTGCCTGCAGCGAGCAGGAAAGCATTTTCATATTCAAGAGGAAGGATTCGGACAAAGAAGACCTTTTCCCAAGTTAGGTTAAAGCTGACTCGTATAACATGCGGCGCCTCATTCGCTTGGGTATCTAGGCATCAGCGTCTTGACGAGTTTCACTGAATCACACTAAATATACAGCCTGCTTATCGTCGCGGTTAGGCGGGGCAAAATGGACCCGTGACGGCCACCTTAGTTGCCGCACGGCGTGCAAGGTAAGACAGCTCTTTTAAAGTTGCCCTTACTACATCAGCATTAAGCCCACGTGCCTGGCGCCTGGATGACCGGAAAATGAGCATATCTCATGGCTTGGAAATAGCAACCAACGCGCATGCTGCCTCTTTGCTTTCTATACCTGGGGTGGTCACTGGGCGGAGGGGAGGCGGCAGAGAAGCAAAGATAATGCGGTATTCATACGTCGAGCTCTGTGGGGGTTTCCATCAAACAGGCTAGGAGAACCGATTCTAAATGATGCAATGTGCAATGGGTCTACGACTTCCGCAAGTGCGGCATAATGATCACAAAATGTCAAGTCGCAACCTATTCTTGATGTCAGAATTGCCCGCCATGTTGACACCAGCACAAACTGACTCGCACTGCAATGTCTACCATCAACTTCCCGGTCAGGGCTGATGATACTTTCTCTGATACAACAACACTTTCTTGGACAATAGTAAATCCAGAGATACCACTTGATCCCGTCACATCGAGGAAATCGGATACGCAAAATGGCCCCTTTGAAGCGATCCAAAATCACAAATCTTGTCAAGAAGCGCCTGTCGACCTCGTCACTGAAGGCGAGATGGGAAGCTTGCATAACACTGGTCGCTCCACATGGCCCAGAAATGCTTGAACTTCTGCTGGGCTGTATCTTGTGCTTGTTGATGCTTTGAGAAAGAATTTTTGTTGCGCGGGGAAAAAGCAAGACAAGTTGAAGAAGAAAGAGGCTACCATCATCAGCAAATGCTGCGCTGCTTGTTAACGTTCGCCACACGTTCAGCTTCGGCGGCGGGCTCCAGTGGACTGGCTGAGAATGAGCGTCCATGCTTAGAGGAAGATGGCACGAGATTTGCATTGCATAAAATATGCTGAAAACAAAAGAGCCTCTCTCAGGTGCTCTTCTCTTCTTGAGTATCGATGAAAGGCTTCAGCCCGAAGAACTTCCAGACGCGGGCACTGTCCAGCTCCTCTTTGCCCTTGGTGGAAATAATCAACTCGGCCGACCCGTCACTCACGTACATCACACTCTTCTTCTGCACATCGTCAGCCTCGCCTGCTGATAGTGGAGACGCCTACTCACCAGACCAAGCGTCAACTTTGTCGCACCTTCCCACCACTTTGGATGGTACTCGAAAAGAGTCTTGCCCTTGATTGCTCGCACGATGTTCTTTGCAACCACCTCCGCCTGCTGAAATGCGCCACGAGCATTCTGCACCGCATCCACCTCAACCACATCTCCAGCTGCGTATATCCGACTGCAGGCCTTATCCACAAGCTGCAACGTAGGGCGGACGCGGATGTGCCCTGACTCAGCGATGGACGAAGGCGACACCTCTGCCACCAAGCCTGAGTTTGGCCTTTGCCCGACGCATTTGATCTACAACCGTCAGCCAGCTCCTCGCTCAAGAGTACATACGCCCAACCTACCAAGCAATCACACTTCACCACTTGACCTGACTCCAACTTGACCTCTTCCATTCGCTCCGGCTGGTCGTCCATCACCACCCTCTCCCCCAACAACACCTTCACCCCCAGCGCCTGCAACCCATCCAACGCGCTCCGACTCAACCCTTCCCCATGCCCTCGATTCAACAACCTCTTCCTCGAGTGCACCAACGTAACATTCTTTTCGGGATACCGCTCCTTCACATCCCCGGCCATCTCCACACCCGCCGCGCCACCCCCAAGCACCACCACATCCCGCGCGGTCCGAGTCCTCTCCTGCTCGTCGCTCAGCATCACCATCCCCTCTTCTTTTGTCCTCCCACCAACCCGCGACGGTAACCCCGCAGCCACTGCCCCCGTCGCCACAACCAAATACTCAAACGCAATCTCCTCGCCCGACTCCTCCAGCACGACTTTCCCCTCTCCCGCACCAGACTCGAGAACAATCCTCCTCACCGCCCCAGTAATCCATGTATACGCCCCCTCCGCCACGGGCGCAAGATACCCCCTGTAGGGGATGAAAGCCTTGTGTTCGTGGCCAGCCACAACACAGAACCGAGGCAGGACCCACGTGAGTTGGAAATGGGAGTTCCGCTCGATGACGACAACGCGGTAGCCCGTCGGGAGGGTGGAGGCGAGAACCCGGGCGGCGTGGTAGCCGGCGAAGGAGGCGCCGATGACGACGATGTTCTTCGGGTCCCGGACGGTGCGATAGGTTAGGCGGTGGAGGCGCGGGGTGAGCGCGAGGGCGATGTGGGTGGTGACTTGATGGAGGGTTAGGTGGAGGGTTTTGAGGATGAGGAGGAGGGTGCGGAGCATTTTGGTGGGTGTTCCGTCACTGCCAGTGTTTGGGATTATTAGTGTGGTGCTTGTTTTTTTTTTTTTTTTCGTGGAGTCAATAGTGGTTGGGTGAGAAGTCAAGTTTCCCCTGTTGTGGTCTCTGGGGACAATGAACTGGGTGAATGGGGACGTATATGTACGGTCTCTACGGTCTCCTAATACAGGACAAAAGGATTCGGTTGCTCCGAATGAGCTGATCTAAAATACTACCTACCGTTCTACTCCCCACTGTTGTGACCGGACATCTTATCTGATCCGATCCGATGATCGGGGGTTCCGTGGTTCAGCCTGGTGATTGGCTTTGGGTGCAGGTGGGCTATACGAGGTGACCCCTAATAGGCTGGGGATGCAGGCCCCAAGATTCATTGAGATTGTAGCTTGGATGAACGGAGATGAGTTTCGGGGCGGAGACGGGGTTCGGGAGCGGTATCTCCGTCTTCGGAGAACTGGATTTGTCCAATGTTTTGGATGCTGGGTTTCTCCGTAGCATGATATATCCGTACTGCCGTAAGAAAGCAAGTTTCCCTAGCTCGAACAATTGGATAATTGTCGTCGATTGGCTTGTGCTATATCCTTCATGGAACCAATGAATCAGAAGCATAATTGCAAGGGACATCGGAATTTTCAAATGATCCGTTCACGGACTCAGTTACTGCATGTAACAGCTCGGATTTGTAATGATGAATACTAGGTAACTATGTCATACTATGCACATCATGCGGAAACTGCAGGTGGTCGTGCGTCCGAGGTATGGCAGGCTCACGGTCAATTAGGATCACCGAAGAACTTCTGGGCCAAGGGAGGGACAAGCCATGCATCAGAAGCTGATTCAAGGAAACTATAGGAGAGACTGCCTGAATCTGGCAATAGAAAATCTTCCGAGCAGATGCATTGTACGCGCCCTATTCGTCATCTTGGTGCACCCCTTGCGTTGGAGGAAGCTAAAGAGGGAAGGGAGCCCCAGGCATCATCCGGTGTGGAATGTTCTTCCAACTCCGCTGATTTCTCAACCCGTTAGATTTACCACTTCATCTGAGAGGTGAAGATACTGAGTTCATGGACATTGAACTTCAATTAGGATGCTGTATCTGGCTGAGAATGCCTTGTATGGTTCGAGAGACGGGGCATTCCCCAGAGCTACATCGAAAACACACTTCATATGATCTATGAAGGAAGATGGTCGCATCGACTAATGCCCTGCATATCAGACGTCGGTCCCTCATCCCTTGCTCGCCCCTCCAAGTCACAGACAAGCTTAGTCGACCTTCAAGAGCAACCTCTTCGAAGCTCCATGATGATCACCTGGCTCCTCAATCTCAGAAGGACGACTTCCCTCTGTGGTCATGACAGGCGTGGCCTATCACATCACCTTGACCTCGGAAGATACACGCGGTCATGACGTCCAGCATCGCCAACAAGGGGGAGTCGACTTGGCAGCTGTGTCGATCTCTCCAGCATGGCTGGCCGTGAGAAATGCGGTAGCTGCTGTAGCCTCCACCAGGCATGGCCCGGGATATTCTCCCCGTGAAAGGTCTATCTATATGTTTCCCTGGCTTTGACGCTTTCCCCAGGCAATTACATCCGATAAAATGAAGACAGAATCGACAGCCATAGTCTCCGAGTCTATTGCGATGGACGAGTACTTGCTCAAGAACCAACTTGAGCTCACAGCCGACGGCCAGTACGTCCGCTGGAGCAAGTATAACAAGAAGCAGCCTCGCAACTGGCCGACCAGCCGGAAGACCTTTGATAGTAGTATCATCTTTCTTCTGGATACATTCACGTATGGTTACCGCTATGTATGAGCAAAAACGGACAATCGCTAACAGCTAATAGGACTGCCACAAGCACAGCCGGAGTAATTCCTCCCCCCCCCCCTGCCCCGTTGTGTATTGTCGGACGTTTCTAACGTGTCTAGACATTGGCGGCTCAAAAGGCTCAAGGTGACTATCATATCGGGAATACTCTTGCAACATTTATCTTCGTGACACTGTAAGAGATTCGCTCTACGGCTAGGGCTGTGTCGATGATACTGACAAGACAGATTTCTCGTGGGTCAGATATTCGGAGCTGTCATATTTCCACCCTGGTCGGAGTCCTTTGGCCGCAAAAACCTTTACATCATAAGTTCTGCGGGAAGTGCAGTATGCTGCTTGGTTATTGGGATGACGCATTCGCTGGGTGCGGTGATCCCGGCGCGTATCATTGCGGGATGTCTCTCGGCGGTACCCTACACTGTTGGCGGAGGCAGCATTGAGGAGATGTTCGATTCACGGGCCAGGATATGGGTGATCTTCATCTGGACCATTGCGTCTAACGTGGGCTTACTGCTTGGGCCCATCATGAGCACATACATCTCTGCTCACATGGATTGGTATGCTTCGTTGGCTGCATCACACCTGTAGCATTATTGACTGACATCCCCAATCATTCTAGGCGCTGGGTATTCTACATTTACGCCGTCATATTCGCCGTCCTTACCGCGTTCTTTTTCGTCATCAAAGAATCCCGTCCATCCCTCCTCCTTTCCCGCGAAGTCGCGCGAATCCGCCACGAGACTGGCAACGAGACCCTACAGCCGCTCAATCCCGACCACACCCCGAATTTCCGAACATTCGTCCGCGTTTCCCTGTTCCGCCCCCTGCAGCTCTTCTTCGGCGAGCTGCTTATCTTCATCGTCGCCATCATGATTGCCTTCTCCTTCTCCCTGGTCTATATCTTCACCGAAGCCCTGCAGCCCATCTACGAGTCAATGGGCTACACCTCGGCCCAGTCGTGCCTTGCTTTCGTGGCAATCGGAGTGGGGGTAGTCTTCAGCACCTTCACGCGGTTTCTGGATCATCGCATCTTCGATGCCCGCAAGGCCGCGAAGCAGCCTGTGAAGCCCGAAGACAAACTGTACGGACTGGTGATTGGCGCGCCCGTCTTCGCCCTGGCGCTCTGGTGGTTTGCCTGGACGATCCCGCCGCGGATCAGCGATCTCCCCTGGATTGTCCCGACCATCGCCTTGGTCATGATGGGGTTTGCGCTCAACGAATTCGACACCGTTCTGTACGGGTACCTGTCCGACAGTTACCTGAGTTACGCGGCGAGCGGAACGGCAGCCGTCCAGTTCCTGAGGGCGATGGCCTCCGGGGCGTTCCCGCTGTTCACCCGGCAAATGTTCGATGGAATGGGGGCCAATGTCGCGGTCTCGGTGCTGGCGGCCCTGGCGACGGGATTCTGTGCCGTGCCCGTGTTGTTCATGTGCTATGGGGAGCGGATCCGGGCTCGGAGCCAGTTTGCGAGGTTCAGTTTGGAGATCGAGGAGGAGCTGGGAACTACGGGAGAGGAGAGGGAGAAGTGAGATTGTTGGTGGACGGGGTGTGGATTGAGGAATGAAGTATATAACATGCCTGTATAACGGCCGTGGCTGCGATGTGTAATGATGAGGAAGTGATGGGTGTGAACCAAAAGGTGGTTGACGACGGCAGTGATGTTGCTAGTATATTGATGAACTGAGAACTGTGTCATAGAGGTTGAGTCATGTCATTGAACGAATCTTCCCTCCTCTGTCATAAGCAGCAGCCTGACCTCCTAGTAGTTAGCATTATCCTCCCAACCCACCTCGACTTATACCTGTTCAAACCCCCAACCCCCGCCCCAACCTCGCCAAATCCTCCTCCCTCCAATCCGTCACCAACATATGGCCCGGCTCATGCGCAAACACCAACCCCTCGATTTTCTCCCCGGCAGCCTCCACCGCCAACTGCGGCGTAACCCCGCAAGCCTACAGTACTCACATGACATGACAGATTAGCAATGAAACCCAGCCCACAACCCCAACCAAACTTCCCCACACCCCCTCGTAAGGCCCCACATCCCCCGCCCGCACTTCCCCGGGGGAAATAACGTAAAATCAACAAGGCAATCAAGGAAGAAAAGGAAATACGCACCCAGAAAACCGGCACCTCCCCCTCTTCCAGGGGCACCGGCTCCCCAAAGTCGGGCGCCTGCAGATCCCCAATCCCCAACCGGGAGAGCGCCTCCCACCCCCAATCGACCGGCTCGCCGTGGGTGGCCAGGAACGGCCGCGTCAGGGCGCGGACCCGCTCCACTTCGTGGGCCGGGTACGGACGCATGGAGACGACGGTGCGTCCACCCGTAAAAATGCCCGCGGGGAGGAGCGGGATGGTGGTGCGGTACATGGGGACGAGGGTTTGGGTGGTCTGGTGGCGCGGGGGCAGGGCGGCGGCGGTGAGGGCGGATTCGAAGGAGTAGGAGCAGCCGATCAGGAAGGATACGTATGCTTCATGCTGTGCGGGCTGAGGGGATGGGTCCGCCCAGAAGGGGAGAAGGGTCTTCTGGTGCGTGGCGATGGGTTTGCCGTGCTTGTAGATGCGGTAGAGGGGGCAGTCGGTGCGGATGTCGAAGTCCTCTGGGCCGGTCACGGTGATGCAGCCTTCGGGCTGGATGTGGTGGGGGTTGCCTGGTTGGTGGGAAATGCCGAGGAGGGGGCAGGCGACCGGGTTGCGGAGGCAGAGTTGGTGGAAGTCTTGGCTGTAGCGGGCGGGGAGGATTAGGAGGTTGGCTTGCAGGTGGCCTGGGGCCAGGCCGGAGGTGTTGGTTATTTGGTTGGCGCGGCTGGCGAGGCGGGTTTGGTGGCTTGGGAGAGTGGTGGTGGTGTTGGTGGTGGTTGTTTTTGAGGGTTTGGTGGTGGCGCTGGGTTGTGGCCCGGGTGGGTTGGAGAGGGTGTCTTTTGTCATTGTGCTTTCGTTTGTGAGTAGAAGCTTGGGAGTGTCAATTTAGCTGTCTTGTCTGTGTAAGGTAAGGTTCTGCTGTTCATATAATGTTATGCAATCAATTGATAGTCCTGCTCGAAAGTGAATACCCCATATCAGTGGTATCGGCATGTGGGCTCCGATATGCGGGATGGCGATGATAAGCATCAGTCGATCCCCGCATCACAACCCCATCGTCTCGAGGCACTGCACCAATGACATCCTCGCTATCTCCACCGCTTATCAGACTATCGGGCCGATGCAGCTGTAACCCTGGTGAATGCTTTTGTCAATTGCCGGTGATTGGCGTACCGGGTTGGAGATAGCCGGTTTGGAGACTCCCCTCTTTCCCCTTCCTTATCGCCGGGGATCTATGTCACTCTGACAAGTACCAGAACCTTGATGTTTCCACGGTTCTTAATGTCGCCCCTGGCACCCCCTTGAGTGTTCCAGGTCGGAATGACAGCTGTCTAGGGCCATCAATCTCTATCCATTTGTGACACTAATGTCCTTCGAACGTGCGGATGATATCCCTCTGGACCGTAAACAGACGGTCCAGAAACCACCCCCGCAGAACACCACCGAGGAGACCGATGTGGGCGATATCGACGATGTGGTGCTGGATCCAGTCAAGGAGAAGAAGCTTCTCCTGAAGCTGGACCTTGCTTTCGTGCCTATCATCATGTTGACCTATTTGTCCTGTTTCCTCGACCGGAGCAACATTGGTGTGTGCGGTCCCAGACGAGTGTCTTCATCTTGCTAAAGGCCCTCAGGAAATGTCAAAGTAGCCGGAATGCCCGAGGACATTGGGGCCTCGATCAACGAGTTCTCTATCGCTGTCTCGATCTTCTACGCCACTTACGTCCTGCTTGAGTCGCCATGGGCGGTCGCGATGAAGAAGCTGACCCCCCGCAACATCCTCACGGGCTTGTGCATCGTCTGGTCCATCACCACCGTCTTCACTGGCTTTATTCACAATGTCGCCTCTCTCTACGCCACCCGTCTTATCCTCGGAGCCTGCGAAGCGGGTCTTTTCCCTTGTCTGAACCTATACCTGACCATGGTCTACCGGCGCGAGGAGCAAGCTAAGCGAGTCTCGTACCTGATGAGCTGCGCTGCCATCTCTGGTGCAGTAGGAGGCTTACTAGCCTACGCATTACTGCACATGGACGGTGTTGCAGGGAAAGCTGGTTGGAGGTATTCCCACCCCCCCTGATACGCTGTCTTCTTGGCCCTAGTGTAAGGCAACTGACAACCAAAAAAATAGATGGGTCTACATTATCGAGGGCCTTTTCAGCATCATCTGTGCGCTGCTCATCTGGTTTGGCCTCCCCAACGACCCGACAACCGCCTACTTCCTCACTGAAGAAGAGCGGTACATGATGCGTGTCCGCAACGCTCAGCGCCAGAAATACATGGGAAGCGACCACTTCAGCTGGGAGGAGATGCGACTGGCCCTGCGGGACCCCAAACTGATCTTTAGCGCCATCACGCAATTCTGCCAGGACATCCTGCTCTACGGGTTCAGCACGTTCTTACCGACCATCCTCGGAAGTCTGGGCTACAACTCGTTGATGAGCAACGTGCTCACCGTCCCGGTGTACATCTGGGCCGCCGCAGTATCTGTCACGGTCGCGTTTTTTGCGGATCGGTACTCGAAATTTGCTGTCGTATGCATCTCCCCTGCATTAAGAATTCTTTGATATAAAGCTGACCAGATTCCGTCAACAGTTCATTGTCGGAACCAACATTTTCGGCATCGTGGGCTACATCCTGTTGTTGGCCGTTCCCTCCGACCCGGTCAAATACTTCGCCACCTACCTCTGCGGCGTGGCGGTGTACACGGGGGTCGGGCTGAACGTGGCGTGGCTGAACGTGAACTTCGCCCCGCAGTACCGGCGCGCCCTGGCCGTCGGCCTCCAGCAGACGGTCGGCAACTGCGCGGGCATCGTGGCGGGCCAGGTGTACCGGTCGTCGCCGTACGTGCTGGGCAACTCGTTCTCGATGGGTGCGTTAATTGTCGCGCAAGGGGTGGTGACGGCGCATGCGCTGTATCTGCGCCAGGAGAACCGGGTCAAGGCGGAGATCTTGGAGGGGAAGATGGAGGACCAGCGGCGGGTGCAATCCGGGGATGCGGAGTTGGAGTTCAAGTACATTTATTAGTATCGTATTGCACCTTACCCTACCGGAAGAATAATGATCGGTCAAATGAAACCTACTCCGGTTGTCGTCATACCATACTTCCACCTTGAACTCCCCCATCCCTTTGTGTCAAGTCTGTGGATGAAAAGACCCACGGGGGCAGAGAAAGATAAGGTTAACCGGATTAAAGCCCGCGCCAGCCCAGCCAGCCCTACAGGGCGACTGTGGTGTCCCGCTGATGTCACCCACCCACCCACTCAACACCCACCCCGAGTATCGCCTGGGGACTGCGCCGCGCCGATGACGCAACGACTTCGCACGCCCAGGAACCAGGCCGCGCGTAATACTCTTTTTCGCCCGCGGGGGATGAGGTATTTAACCTTGAAGGTTTTTGTTCTCTTGGGAACAAGGAATTCACTACATATACCTCTTTTCGGGATCTGTTGTTTACGAGATTCTTTTTCTGCGAGCTGCACTGAGATTATACTTCGCACATCACCGCCGATAGACTCTGCACATTCTGCAAGGAATTACGAGATTCTTTGCCTCCTCTTTGGTCGCTTGATACTAGACGATTCACGAAGCTTTACCTCCTCCTCCTCCTCCTCCTCCTCCTCCAATTCTGCTATTAGAAGCTAGAACGATCGCGATATATACCTCCTTCTACCAGAGAACAAACATGGGAACCTGCATGTCTCTCATGGGCAACCGCCGCCGTCGGGGCGGTGGAATGATGAGCGGCGGGATGGGCGGGCCTCCGGTTCGACCGGTTGGAGGATTCGGAGGCGGTGGGATGCCGATGGGCGGCGGCGGTGGGTTCGGCGGTGGTCGTCATCATCATCACTATGGTGGTGGTGGGTTCGGGGGTCCTGGGGGTCCTGGCGGGTGGGGTGGTGGTGGCGGCGGACCGGGGGGGTTCGGTGGTGGTCGTGGTGGCCGTCGTGGCGGTGGGGGTGGGTTTGGTGGGCGCAGGGGGAGGTGGTGAGTTGCTTGGGGTTAGTTGAAAGTACTTCATGAGTGGTAAGTCTGGCTTGGTGATCCTTGCTGGGGTGATTTGGGGACTGTGCTAATGGATTAGGAGAGGCTTAGGTGATGCGATATACGATTAATTGATGGGGGTGAGATGTGTGCTGAGATACCTTTGAAGTGTGCTTTTGCTTGGGATGGATGTAATGTCCGAATAAATGTGTTTGTTGTGCTTGAATTGAATTGAGTTGTTGTATTGTAGTATATGCTACAACGACTGTACAGTACATGTGTATCAACATCAACTCCATCTTTCCTGCTGTAACATCTCTCATAATCATCATAACATGACTGATCGTAATCTAGCTCTAGCTTATATTCAACGAGCACCCTCCCCCGAACCCCCTACTGACTCTTCTCCATCATAAAGCCATGCATCCCCATGTACCTCTCCAACTCGCGATCCTCGGTCTCGAGATCCAACTCCCCACTCTCCGGCAGGAACCAATACACAACCATCCCCAGCACCGCCACACCCGCCAGCAGATAGAACGTAGCACTATCGCCCGCCGCCGTCTGCAGCGGAGTGAAACACTCCGTGCCGACCGCGGCGCCGGTGCGCCCGAACGCCGTCGCGATACTGTATCCCATGCCGCGCATGGCGGTGGGGAACGACTCGCTACTGATCAGCCCGATCGTCGCGCCGGGGCCCATGTGGCCGAAGGCCTGCAGCAGGCCGTACAGCACGACAAACGCGGCGATATGCCGCGACAACAGCGTATAGCAGCCCCCGATAATGAACCCCAGCACCACATACCCGGCGAACCCGGCGATGCCCGTCCAGCGGCGCCCGATCGCGTTGGTCAGGTACGCGCCCACCAGCACGCCGGGCACCGGCAGCACCGCCAGGATGACCTGCCACACGGCGGTGGTCTGCAGGTCGCCGTCCGTCACCATCGAGGCGATGATGCTGCTCGACATGATGCTGTTGGGGAAGTTGATGAAGTCGTACAGAAAGAACGCCAGCGAGGTCAGCGCCAGCCGCCGCCAGTACCGCCGCGCCAGCAGCCAGTAGAACCGCAGCGGCTTGCGGCGCTGCCGCTTGAAGTTGCTGTGGTGGTACAGCGTCGAGTCCGTCATGAAGAAGCGCAGCACCATGATCGTCGCCGGGATGATCGTCGCGATCGCGTAGAGCGCGTGGAAGGTCACGGGCAGGTTGTTGTCGCTCGCTTTCAGCGTGATCAGGTAGATGATCATCAGGATTGGGGCGGCCAGCGTCGCCATTAGGGTCGTGAAGGAGACGAAGACCGGGCCGCGGTAGCGGCGGTTGAACTGGGGGTACGGTTAGTTCCAATACATAAGCTAAACAGCTGCTGTTGTTGTTGTTGTTGCAGAGAGAGAACTCACGTCGTCGGATTCCTCAAGGCCGGCAGCAGCGCTGGGAGGGTATTCGCCCCCAACGCCAAATCCACAGATCCCCCGCACAATGACAAAGTACCACAGCATGTTCGGGGAAGGGTGCACATCCAGCGCCACGGCGGCCATCAGGGTGCTGACGGTCACCAGCCCCGAGGTGAAGAGCAGCCCCGCCCGGCGGGAGATCATGTCGGAGACGTACCCCAGCGCCAGCACCCCCAGAATGGCCCCGATGATCAGCGAGTTGCTGATCCGCGTCTTCATCTCGGCCGGGTACCCGGATTTCCCCAGCAGGTGGGTGAAGATGACATTGGTGGGGTTGGCCAGTTGGTTCTGGAACCCGTCGCTGAAGTTGGCGATGTACTATCACACACGGATTAGAATGCTATTGCATTGCATCGAGTAGACAGCAGTGGACGTACGCAGCTGATGATGGTCAGGTTGCTCTGCCATCGGGTGGGCCGGTACGGCTTGTGTGGGCCGCTTTCCAGTTCACGGTCTGCGATCACCGCTTCGCCTTCTTTGACGCTGGAGACGACGGCTGGAGCTTGGCTGGCCGGGCCATCTGCCCCCGCTGTTGTTGATGGATCGAGTGACATGTTTTGTGTACGTGTCGGACGAACATGTAGCCCTCGTGTCCAACGTCTATGTGCGAGCAAGCATCCTTAAGAATTTTTGGGGGGGCCTTTATCTTCAGGCGGGGCCTGGCGCCGGCGCTGTCGCGGCCAGCCCTAATCAGAGCTAGATGGACGGCGGTTGCCGATCAGATAATGTTTCGGAGCCGATACCGGGTTCTTTGGTCCCGCAGGGTGATAATTTCCGACGGCGTGGTTGGCTGTTCGTAGGGTTGGGACTCGGATGAGATCCGCTTTTCCCAGACGCTTCGCTTTCTCCGCGGTCCGTGGTGCGGATGGGGTGGGAGATATCGTATGATTTGTAGATGGAATTTGAGTTGCAGACCCTGTCGAGATAGTGGGGGCTTGGTATCTTGCTTCACCGCTCATCGTGCAGTTATGATTCGTGGTGAGTCACGGATTGATGCCATTGCAGATAGAATGGATTTTGATGTGGAATCGATTGGTGTCCAGAATAGCTGGAATTTCGAGATTTCGAAATGAATTGATGTGTGCTTAGGCGAATTTGGAGATAGTGTTGGGTATCCCTCTTCCATGCTAGGACTTAGCTTTCTGAGAAGGAGGCGCCATTTTTGATCCACTTTACAGCACGGAATATCTTTGTGGCCCACTTTGCAGAATCGAATTTAGACAAAGTCTGCGGGCATTCTCTAATGACTGTCTTCGCAAGAGTGGAGAGGTGACACTGAAATGGTGAAATCGTCACGTTGAGTAGAGCTACTCGAACTTTGAACTATCTTGCTATGAGTGTTGTATGAACTACAGAGTATATTTTGCTGGAAACATGAAACGCTTAGATCCTTTCGCTTTATCTGCCGAAGAGCTCCAGTGGAGAAGGTGTCAAGCAAAGTTGCGGAGTCGCTGTCAAGGATTCTGGCGACCCACTCCGCCTCTCTGCTTTAGTACATACATTGAGAATGTCCTCGTCGTCAAGTAGGAAGAAAGAATCGCAGTGATCCCTTCGCCGTTGTGGACCGATATTCGCCCGGCTTTTGACAGATGGTCTATTGAGGCGGCGACAGTATTAAAAGCGCGTCGAGTGGATCGGGTAAACCGAAATGCACAAGTCATCAAGAAACGAAGTAGGGATCCATTTCACGTCATATCGTCAGCCCATGCCCAGCATGCCAAGAGCTGCACCCCGTCCATGTCTCGCAGTCGCTTATGCGGGGCTCAGGCACGACCCCATCAACCCCACGAATTACCTTAAATTCCGCCGGGGATGCAGCATTAGCCGCCCTGAATGTACCGAGAAAAGCTGGGGAATGCTTCTCTCAGCCCTCATTGGCGCTGCAGATCGTGGAGAAACTGGATCGGAAATTGCACCTATCACGGAACCGAGTTTTGGCAGGGTCGGGTTGAATTACCCCGGAGTCTGAGGGGTCAGCATGACGATGTTCAACGCAGACTAAGGACCTATTGTATAGGTACAAAAATATAATGATTTGTTCACTACCTATAAAGCAGCCTGATTTCCTGCCCCTTGAACTCATGCATTCGGCAAACAGAATCAAACTCCATTGTATGAAACTCAGGATGTTGTCCAGTGCTCTGATCTTCATTGCTGGCATTGCCTCTTTGATAGCACCCGCATTTGGTCTGTCAGATACTACCAAGAGCGGGCGCGCGCGGGCAACTTGTGTTGTCCCGGCTGGAAACTCGACCGCTGTCGATGATGTGCCGGCCATCCTCGATGCTCTGACAACCTGCGGCAACGGCGGGCGTGTGAGCTTCAGCAATACCACCTACCACATCAACTCGGTGATGAACACGACCTGGCTGGATGACGTCGAGATTGACCTCCAAGGAACTCTTCTGGTAGGGCATTTCGCACCCTATCCACGGGCATCACTAAATTACCCTCACAGTGGAGCACAAATATCAGCTACTGGCTCGCCAATTCCCTAGACGTCGGCTACCAGAATCAGTCCACTGCTTGGATCCTAGGTGGTAAGGATATTGTCTTTGACGGCCACGGCTACGGGACGTTCAATGGCAGTGGACCGGTGTGGTATAGCTATACCTCCGGCGTGTCGAACTACCCCCGCCGACCGCATCAGTTGACCGTCACGGCACAAGACTCCACGTTCAAGGGGTTGAGGTTTGTCCAGAGTCAGATGTGGTATGTCTGTCAGCAGGAAACTTTGCAGATCAATGCCCAAGGCTGACGGGGATAGGACAATGTCCATCATCTACTCCGAGAACCTGCTCTTCGATTCGATTTACGTCAACAACCTCAACAATAACGGCGGTTCCTCCAGTATGCTCAACCTTCTACCGAGATCAAGTCCTCCTCAACTGATGGTAACAGGGAACACCGACGGGGCCAACACCATCCGCAGCAGCGGGATCACCTTCACCAACTGGCAGGTCGTCAACGGCGACGACAGCATCAGTCTGAAGGGCAACTCCACCGACATCACCATCGCCGACTCAACCTTCTCCACCGGCCTGGGCATCTCAATCGGCAGCATCGGGCAATACCTCAACGAATTCGAAACGGTGGAGAACGTTCGCGTCTCCAATTGCACCTACCAGAAGACCACGCATGCCGTGTACGTCAAGACCTGGACTGGGGATCAGGTCGGATACCCGCCGAACGGCGGGGGTGGCGGTCTGGGGTGTATGTCTCTTTACTCTCCGGTCTTTGTGAGTTGAATGCTAACCCTCGCTAGATATCTCCGACGTCACGGCGACGAGTCTGTCGCTCAACAACCTCAAGGGCACCCCGTTCACCGTATCGCAATGCACCACCTTCTCGGGCGCTTCGGGAAACTGCACAAACTCCAAGTTCCAGGTCCGCGATCTGTATTTCAGTGATGTGTCGGGCACGCTGCCTTCGACAGATGTTATCAGTCTCCAGTGTAGTGCGGTGGCCCCGTGCGAGAATATCACGGTCAAGGATGTGAGTCTGCGGGTCACGGGGAGCTCGACCAAGGCGGATGAGTATCTGTGTGGGAATGTGGAGGGGACGGTGGGGTTCAATTGTACCGGGGAGGTTTGTGTTGGGTCGAGCGCTACTGGGGGGTGTTGATTAGAGTGCGACATACAGTCTCTCTTTTATCCTCGATGGTTCGTATGTAATTCATTCTACATCCCATAAGACGCAGAACCAAGTACTTCTATCGATGACAATACACGTCACTGATCATTTGAATTGAGATAGAACAATATGTGCCGAAGAGAGGCTCAAGTCGCTCATTGAATATGTAGAACCGCCACGCGGCCTGGCCACAAAAACCGATGATGCTCTGGGGACGTGACTCGGAACATTATGCTGATAAAGAGTTCGGAAACAAGTTTGGCTTACCCTGTGCAGCCCAATGTTGCAACAATGGCTTCATGAGAGCATTTATGCGCGAGTTCGAGCTACGCACTCGCCTCATGCCCTTCGACTTCCAGTGCATTTTGCCAAGCAAGGCTGGCGGTCGGGCTAGGGAATTAGGATGATTGTCCTTGATATCCTCTTCTCAAGTCTCCTTCATGTTTCGGACTCAGGTCAGCTACAGTCTCGCCCAAAGAACTGGACTGGTCCACTATGTTCACGTTATACTAACTCCTAATGCCTAATACGAACCAGTCCACCGCGCGAGCCGTCATCCTTGGGCCGACGCTTTCTGCATATATCTTCCCAGCGCCATCATGGGAAAGTAGTGGGCGTAATACACATATCCCAGATAGAAATGTTTCGGAAATCCGGTTCCTGTGTACAGTTTATCCGTCCACGTTCCAGCGTGCATTTTATCCGTCCCTGTTCCCGTGGAGATTTTCTCCGTCCTTTCTCCCGTCTCCCGACACACAATTTCCACAGACCCGACGAGGTGCCTGACGCCTCGCGCAATTATCTCATCTGTGTGTGGCAAATATGCCAGCAGCGCCATCAGCGCCCACGCAGTTTGCGCAGCAGTGGACTTGTGGCCCTTGATCGTCATACTTGGGTCTTTATACGTGAGTAACGATTCGCCCCATCCACCATCAACATTTTGATTAGATTTTAACCACTCTTTCGAAAGATCTACCATCCCCTGAACGCGTTCGTCCTCGTCGATAAAGTAGGCCAGACCACACAGCGCGTGGGAAGTGCCGTAAATATAATTGCACCCCCATCGACCAAACCAGCTTCCATTAGACTCTTGGGTGGAGGCGAGGTAGCCGATCGCACGCTGGCAAGCCAGACGAAGCTGAGGGTAGAGGTGCACGACTGTGTTGCTCTTATCGGGAGTTCGCATCAACAACCCAAATGCTTCAAGGATGCGACCCGTGATGTCGGCGCAGGAGGTGTCGCACAGGCTGTCCATATCACTGAAAGGGATCTTATTGAGGAAAAGCTTGTCGTTCCCAACATCAAAGGCAGCCCATCCTCCATCAGGGTTCTGCATCCCCAATATCCAATTGGTGGCTTGCACCACGGAGAAAGAGGATACCGACGTCGGGTCCTGCTTGATTTGTGCGAGAATGATGGCTGCAGTGTCGTCTACATCGGGGTACCACGTGTTGTCGTACTCAAAACTAAAGCCCCCGGGCGCGAGGTTGGGACGGTAGACGCGCCAGTCTCCATGCAGATCAAAGATTTGACGGCGTCGAATCCAATTGACCGCTCGGTCGAGATGTCCCTTGTCTGTGGACATGGCGTCGCATAACCCGACGGTCATAAGCGCTGTGTCCCAGACTGGAGACACGCAGGCCTGGATCCTTTTGCCCAGCTCATCCTGCCAGGTGAAACGTTCCAGAGCTTCGAAACCGAGGCGCACCGGTTCGTCATCCAAGCGGTATCCTTCGAGCAGCAAAGCATACATACTCCCGTGCATCGGGGGAAAAATTCCACCCCAATCGCCGGAGGCTTCTTGGCGGTCGAGGATCCATTCAACACATTTGCGGCGCGCATAAGTGCGCATGAATGGCACCGATCGCAACCCCCCGAGCTGATACAAGAATTTATCGACAACTGTGAATGCTAGACCGGCCATGTCGAAATCCGCCGCCAAGGTCCAAATTGACTTGCCATAGGGCACGTTTTTATTTGTGCTGTCCTTCCATAGTTCGTCGAGGTAGTCATTGTTCGCCGACTGCCCGTTTGGCAACGGATACACCGGCTGGTGATGGCAAATAAGCAACAATGGGGCGATCGTCCCTCGTGCCCAGGATGCCAATCTGAAGATATTGATGGGCAACGAAGAGGGCAGGAGGATGAGCTCTACCGGGATTTGCGGTACTGCGGTCCACGGAAACAACCCAAAGGTGGCCAAGAAAATGCGTGTGAACACCCGGACAGCAGCCACTCCCCCGGCCTGAAGCACAAACGTCCTCGCTCGTTGCATGGGCGCAGAGTTAACATCTTCTCCTAATATCTTCAAGGCTAGGTATGCCTCTGTTGTGGTCGAGACATCGCCGGGAATCTCTGGAGCTAGACCCCACGAGCCATCCGGATTTTGCTCGGACAGAAGCCAGCGGGTGTATGCAGGTCCATCGACCGTCAGATCCAGGCCTAAAGCGTATCGGAGAAAGACATATTCGGAGGTGATGGTTGCGTTGGATTTGAGCTCACCGCACCAGTGACCGTCTGGATGCCCCGTTTGGCGAGAAAACTCGGTCGCTTTATCGAGTGTGTCCTTGACGAGCGAAGCAAGTTCCCCGGTCTTGGACATCGTATATGTCTGTGTGTTCTTTGTCGATCACGATCGCTTTTTTTTTTCTTGGAGAGTGTAATCGGCACACAATCAAAGACCGAAAGTGCAAAGACGCTTCAATGTTCTCCTTGCAAGGTATCTTCTTCGAATATGTACATGAGCACTTGGTTGACCAACTCGAAGTCAATAAAAGCCTGACTCTGGAAGAACAAATAAGCACATGCTACTCAGCGATCTGCAACAGATATGAGCCCTCAACGAATTGGACGGACTTTGATGCCACGAACAATAATCTTCAGAGGAATGGTTAGTGTGAAATGGTGTTGCAAAAATGGCCGATCTCCTAGCGCTACTTCTGTGCATAGCTAGCGTGGGATTGGCGGGCAGTGGTGTGATGGGTCGGAGAAGACGCATCGCATCTGACCTCTAACCTGCATAAAGATGCGTTGAGTAAATCTACAGCACTACAGGTACTGTCCTTGGTCTCTTTGCTTCTGTGATTCTTGTTGCAGCTGAGGCTAGTGGGCTTATGTTAATGTTGAACATCTCACGTGCTACGTTTTCCCAAATTGACATGGACCCCAAGATAGCTGCAATTTCTGGTGTGTAGCTACATCGCTCTCGCGGAGTGCAGACACGATAAGGACTTTTACTTGCAGGTCTCAGTGCTGGCCTCTTACGAGCGCTCCTACACGCCTCGCAGACGGCGGAACCATTCTCAGATAACAGCCGGTTGAATTGCCTAGCTAGCATTGAGTCCAAGGATTATGAGTCAGGCAACTATAACCATTGGAATGCCGCCAGAACTTTTCCGACTGGGTGTCATGGCTTTTGCCACACTCATTTGGCTGTTAACACTGCGACAAGCACACAAAATATACGCGCTCGAGCAACAATACGGTTGCGGGAATGTGGTCAAGGAGAAAGCCCCTCGGTGGGACTTGCTGGGTGTAACAAAATTGCTCGAATTCGCTCATCATTTCCGAAGTAAAACTGCACTCGAGTATACGGATAGGCTGTTCAAGATATATGGGAACACTTACATGTCTCAGATTCTGGGTTACCGGATTCACTTCACATGCGATCCGACTAACATCAAGCACATTCTCTCAACGAACTTCGCGGATTATGACAGTTCCAAACTGCGGGGCCATCTGTTCGATCCCATTACACCTCATGGAATCTTCACGGTTGATGGCCCCGACTGGCGAGCAATCCGCGACCAGCTGCGCATCCAGATGTCCAACAACCGCAGAATCTGTGACCTTGCGATGTTTGAGCAGCAGTTCCAGACTTTCCTTCAGTGTGTACCGCCCGATGGCCAGAAGTTTGATATCCAGGAGTGTTTCATCAGTCTTGCAATTGATATCCAGAGCAGATTTGCTTTTGGGGACTCGATCGATACCTTGCATCCTTGTCCCTCGCCGGCAAAGAAGCGCTTTGCGCAAGACTTACATATCATCAAGGAGACTATCGTTCGTGACGGCTTTCGTGGCCCACTGCGTCATCTTTCGACGAAACTAGAGTTCCAACAGTCCTGTGCGCGGGCGCGTCGCTTTATCATTGATTATGCAGAGCGGGAAGTGGCGAAGGGACAGTCCCAGGATAGCGCAGAGGGATACTATCTCATGATGGGCCTGAGAGATAAAGGAGCAGATGCCGCCCAATTGGCAAACCAGGCTCTCAGTATTTTGCTAGCTAACGATAGCATTGCTACTACATTGTCGGGCATCTTCTTCCTTTTGTCACGGCATGAACGAGTGGTCTCAAAATTACGACAAACTATAATGGAGGAGATAGGTTCCAACCCTCCTACCTACGACCAGCTCATGAAGATCGCCTACCTCACACATGTTATCCATGAGAGTATGGGCTCCTTCGACCTTTTTTGACTCTGTTGCTTATGATGGCTCGCCACAGGTATGCGATTCTTCCCAGTGGCTCCCTTGAATGCGCGAACGGCAAACAAACACACTGTTCTGCCATCCGGTGGCGGTCTTGATGGCAGCAAACCGGTTCTGATTCGCAAGGACGACATTCTTGTATTTTCTTCCTGGTCTAGCCACCGACTGGAGGCCAGCTTTGGCTTGGATCCCGAGGAATTTCGACCCGAGCGATGGGAAACATTGAGCGCCGATGTCGCCGGGTTTATACCTTTCAACAAGGGTCCCCGACTTTGCCCTGGAAGTGAGTACCTGCCTATACCCCAGCGAAGGTCAGCGCTGACGATAATCCTTGACTAGAACGTTATGCTATGATTTTCATCTCTTACATGGTTGTTCGTCTACTGCAGACCTTTTCACATGTAACAAACTACAATCCAGGACCGTGGGTTGAGAGGCTATCGATGACGCTGGAGAATGATAATGGTGTGTTGGTTGGGTTGAGCTGAAGGCCCATCTATGCCAAATGCTAGATAGTGGCCTGGTTTACCTGGTTCTGGAAGGTTAATGTCGTATCTGCTTCTCAGGACGGCCATTCAAATGGGTTTCCGATACTCGCGAAACGAGGTATAGCCAAAGTTTGTGAAATAGAAGAACTTGCGAATAGTCCCACTCATAGCTAAGGTACTAGTTACTAAGTAGCTGCAGCCTACCGAGTAGGGCAAGTCCTGTCTGCACCTTTTGCCCGTCGCGGTCAGTGCCTACCTTAAAGCGGATTCTCTTCCCAGGTACCTGCTCTTGTCATCGCCTCCACAACCATCCACTCCTCGATTATAATTTCAACAAGGTCCAACCAAGACATACTGCCAATCTCATCCTTCACAAATACGTCACACCTTGTTTGACGATGGGTCTACTATCAATACTTTTTGGGCATCGTCAAGTCCCAACTTTTCCGACCGATCGAATCATCCCTCTACGCGTCTGGGATGACATTCCACACTTGCGCTCATTGGTTCATGACTGTACCTTTGGCTTCGACGATGTGCTCGATATCACGAAGCTACGTGAAGCACTACATACTCTGCTTCATATAGGTAACTGGAGACAGCTGGGGGCGCGGTTGAGGTTGAATGTAGGTTTTCCTTCCTACTGACTGACACTGAAAGGCCTCTAAGCCAAACACTGATTGGTCTTCAGTCAGAAGGAAAACTTGAATACCATATCCCAGCCCAGTACGACGATACCCGATCAGCATTCATCTTCACGACAACAAAGCATACCTCGAGTATCAATGATCACCCACTGGGGTCTCGTCTCCCACGAACATCATCATCCAAGGCACCCTTCTTGGCCCCATGCGCGGCCGAATTCATTCCCTTAGTGTGTGGCCATGGCTCTCCCCAAGTTCTGAGGGATTGGATTTCGTCCGATCTACCGCAGCTCAGAATTCATGTGGTCCTGTTTGATGATTCGACCCTGTTGACAATCACACACCCGCATACGCTGATGGACGCGGTCGGGCGCTCAACATTCCTGCGAGCCTGGACAGCCGTCCTGCGCGGCCAACATGGGGAAGTTCCACCCTTTCGAGACCTGTCCGAGGACCCGCTGGCCTCGCTCGGTGTGGAAGTTCCAGGACCAAGCTACATCCATGCCGACCGGGTCCTTCAGGGACTTGGGATCGTCGGATTTGGAATCCGCCATTTGTTCGACATGTGGTTCCACCGTCAACAAGATCACCTTTTCCTCATCCCTGGCCGCTTGGTGGACCGCATGCGACAGGAGGTGCTGCAGGAAACCCCCTCCTCCGATGGCACGGCATTTTCCTATCTCAGCGAGAGTGATGTGTTGCTTTCTTGGTGGCTGAAGAGTGTGACTCGGGCATTGGACCTGTCACCGGATCAAATTATCATGTCGATGAACATGTTCGAGATTCGGGATTTGTTCCGCGACTGGTTCCCGACCGGGAGCGCTTACATCGGCAACGCCATTTTCCCTTGCTACACCCTGTGTTCTGTGCCGGAGATCATGGGGGGCAGTCTAGGGACATTGGCGCAGGCGAATCGTCGCGCGCTGAGTCGCCACCGGACCAAGGAGCAGGTGCATGCCTTGGCGGCCCTCCAAAGTCGCTCGCTGTTGAAGACAATCCCGCTCGTCGGCGAGTCAAATCTGGTGTTTATGGCCTGCACTAACCATCACAAGGCCCGGTTCTTCGAGCTGGATTTTTCCGCAGCCGTGGTCCGACCAGGGGTTCCCTTGTCAAAACGAGCCAACCAGTTGGGGCGACCCTCGTATATAGGTTATGCGGAACACACTGATGGGTACTACTCAACGAGGAATCTGCTGCGGGTGATAGGGAAAGACGCCGTGGGCAACTGGTGGCTTTCATGCACTCTACGAGAGGGGGCCTGGGAGAAAATTGTCGGACTGTTGAATTCTGCTTTGATGGAAATCGACAAGACCTTGGAAACCTGAGTATGCAGACAATTTGATGTGCCAGAGCCAGATTATATTTTGGGCGGACAAATTAGATGGTTTCATACCACTGTGGGTCTCAGCCGGGTCTTCAGCTGCAGTGGTCGATGTTATCCATGATCTTGCATTCACTAGCCAGTACTAAGTTAAAGCAACTCTCGCGTCCCGATTTGGCTTGATCAACCTGGAGCCACCTACGTTACTGCACTGATTATTATTACAGTGCACTATTAATCATGCTGTAACAAAGGAAGCAGCAATTGCTCAATGGTGGGTCATGCGGAGGGAGACTACTCGCAATTCATGTTCAGGAAGTCTGAGCTATCCTGTGTCTTTCGCGAATCTTGGGGCGCGTTTGCTGAGGAATGTGCATTGCAGAACTCACACGCGCCAAACCGGCTGTACACAGAGACGGTCCTCATTTTGTGACGTATCAGCTTGTTTTCTCCAAGCAACACAGTTCTTGCATTCGAGTTTCTGGATGAATTATTCCATCTCACGTGACTGAAACAGCAATGGTTGTGGTGTCGAATTGTGTGGAATAGCAATAGGTGGCCGACTTTGAGGGTTCAACATCAGTGAGGTCCGATCATTGGTTGGAGCCCGGTGGAATCAAATGTCTGATGCTATTTTGCTTGATGACATCCAGCCGATTGCCCGGTGTTCTTTCCAGGATGGGAAGACCCAAGGCACAGCGACCGAGGAGCAAATTGACTCTGTATCACGAAGAGCTGGATTATTCACAGCCTACACCTATGCCACTCGCTATGAGAGATGGGGCTTGGTTATATGCGTCTTTTGTGCGCTGGTTGCCGGTGCAGCGCTTCCTTTGGTGACGGTAAATATTCTCCCAATCGGCACAGCGTCACACTAAAGCTGACTCGTGTAGCTCATTTTCGGATCATTCATCGATCACTTTATGAGCGTCAATTCAGATGAAGCCGAGAGAAGTGACACGATTGCACAATCGGCCACGCAGCTGTCACTATGGCTGGTTTACATCGGTCCGTGAGTGCCCATCCGGACGAGGGCTGAACGTCGGCTGATAGATCTAGGAAGCTATCGGATCCCTTCTATCGACTCTGTGTAGCACCTGGGGGTTCAATCGCCTCGGCGAAAAGATCACTGCGAGACTACAATTAGAGTACCTCGACGCTGCTCTACATCAGAATCTGGAGTACCTCGATGCTGTCGGGTCCGGCCAGCTGACGGCTGGCATTGACACCGACATAAGAGCGATCCAGGAAGGAATTTCGCAGAAAATGGGCATGCTTATCTCCGGTTTCGCCGGCTTCATCGTGGCCATCATTATCGCCTTCTCACAGAACCCTCAGTTTGCGGGAATCATGCTATCCCAGCCTCTAGCTCTAATGCTTGTAGTAGGTGGGTTTGGATCCTGGATGAGCAGGACTCAACAGGAAGGGCAGGTGAACTGGGTAAAGGCAGACAGCCTCGCGCAAGAAGTGCTTGGTGCCATGAGAGCTGTTCTTGCGTACCGAAGTCAGAAGAGATACACGAACAAATACCAGGAAATCATTCGAGGTCCTATTCTGCTCGAGCGTCGCGAGCGTTTTATTTTCGGTACCATTGTTGCCGGATCTTTCACCGTCCTTCATTGGGCAAATGGATTAGGTGTATGTAGGTCCTACTTCCCTATCAACTTAAATTGACTGACTCTTAGCGATTGCCAATGTGTAGATTTGGCAAGCAAATCGCCGGGTTCATGAATCGGCATGTACCATCGCCGAAGCCTTGACTATCTTGTATGCAATGACGGTTGCCGGAGGAATGCTTAGCCAGGCTCTCCCTTTTCTACCCGCTATCATTCAAGCTCATGGCGCAGTCAGTCGAGTTCTTTCGGTCATTGATCGTACATCACCCTCAAACTCTGCATGTTCTGCAGGTCGCACCATCAAGTCCTTCCGCGGATGGATTGAATTTCAGAATGTGAACTTCGCATATCCGTCCCAACCGAATCGAACGATATTAGACTGCCTTACTTTCAACGTTTTGCCAGGTCAGACAGTGGCATTCGTTGGTGCTTCAGGATCTGGGAAGTCAACGGTGCTCTGTCTTCTGGAGCGATTGTATCTACCATCCAACGGGCGCATAACGGTAGATCATGAACCCATCGAAGAGCTCAGCATCTCGTGGTTGAGGTCCCAGATAGGATACGTCGATCAGGATGTGGGTCTCTTTCGAGCGTCAATTCACGACAACATAGCCTACGGTCTCCATGTTTCTTTGAAACAGGTCTGTCAGATTACCTTATTCAAGGGAGATCGTGTACTGATTGATTTGGTAAGAGCCTAACAGCAGCAGATATCAGGCAGCGGGTTGTTGAAGCAGCCAAGATTGCTCAGATACACTCCTTCATTTCCGACCTGCCTGATAGCTACGATACAGCACTAGGCTTCGGCGGGTCCGGTCTGTCCGGAGGCCAAAGGCAGCGAATCGCTATCGCTCGGGCGATCGTGTCCCAGCCCCCGATTCTGCTTCTCGATGAAGCCACCGCCGCCCTAGACAGCAAGAGTGAAATGGAGGTCCAGAAGGCACTAGATGCAGCGATGACGGGGAGAACGACAATTGTGATTGCACATCGACTGTCCACAATCCAGCATGCCGACAAGATTATCGTCATGCACAATGGACAGATCAGGGCTCAAGGCTCACACGCAGAACTGATGCGCACATGCGACATTTACCAAGCTTTAGTCAGGCAACAGAGGACGAAGACGGAACCTCCAGCTCAGGAAGCATTGCAATATGAGAGAAACTCGTTTTCAGCGGATGTGTCGACTGAAGACGGGAGGGACATTACAAAATTGGGTACAATCATCCATAAGCCAAACAATGGCTCTGCATCTACCCAGGTCCCTCGGGGTAGCTTTGGATTTGTTTGGAAGCTCAATGAGCCAGAACTGCTTTATCTTGTAGCTGGCGGTTTTCTTAGTATCCTTGCAGGCATGAGCTATCCCCTTCACGCGATCTTCTTCGGGAATGGAATTGTTTCTATCATTGACCCTGAGCTAAGTACGGGTGATCACCCCGCCCGGTTCTGGGCTCTGATGTACCTTATCCATGGTGCTGTTGTCTTTGCGATATACTGTGGCCGGGGATACTGTTTCGCAGCTTCTGCATCCATGCTTCACATGCGAGCCCGCGCTTCCCTATTCGAATCCCTCCTCTCAAAGGGGTTCCCGTTCTTCGATGACGAGGCTCATTCAACCGGATCCCTTCTCAGTGTTCTTTCTTCCGACGCTCAGAAGATCATCGGCATCTCAGGGACATCCCTTGGTTTGACTGCTGAGAGCGTGTTCATGCTCGTCACTGGGGTCACTGTCGGGTGTGCCTTTGGCTGGAAGCTGGGATTGGCCTCGACAGCGATAATCCCGTTCATCGCCGCGTCGGGATTTCTGCAGTATTTCATTGTGATGCATGTGCAAAGATACATCAGACGGAACTCCGATGCAGTTGCAGTCGCACATGAGGCGTTTACCGCAGTCCGAACCGTGACCGTCCTCGGGCTGCAGAGCACCATCAGCGCGGCATTTGCCGCCCAGATCCAGCAGGACGTTCGAGAGAGATACTGGATCTTGACCGGCGTAGCCTATGCATGCGGGACGTTCTTTCGTGTGTTGGGCATTGCTTTTGTCTTCTGGTATGGAGGAGTCCATCTCATTGCCACAGGAGAGTACTCTCTTCAGCAGTTCTATGTCTGCTTCGCGGCTATTGTGTGGGGATCCCAGGCGGCGTCGACTCTCTTTGCGCATGCGCCGGACATCGCAGGCGCGCAGATGGCTGCTTCTCGGATGCAAAGTCTTATGCATGGGTCAAGCTTTGTTCAATCAGAAGGTGCTGTGCCGACCCCAAGCACTGTCAAGGATGTCGCACTGCGGAAAGTCCACTTCAGGTATCCCACCCGCCCTTCTGCGTCCTGGACTCTGAATAGTATTAGTCTGAATGCGCGCGCTGGACACTTCATCGGTCTGGTTGGAGCAACTGGAAGCGGGAAAAGCTCTGTGATCAACCTCCTTGAGCGCTTTTATTCTATTGGCTCTGGTAGTATTACGCTTAATGGGGCGTCGATCGACGAGTACGATCTTGAGTCATACTATCATTACTTCGCCCTCGTCGACCAGAACCCGTGCCTTGTGGGCGAAGATATCCGGGAGGCTCTTCATAGTGATAACAGAGTCATCCCTGATGAGCAGCTTCTTGCTGTTCTAGCCAAGGTGGGGCTGGAAGAGTTCGTTGTGAGTACCTGTTACCACCAGGTCACTGGATCCCCCGCCTAATCCATTCATACTAGTTGTCCCTTCCTCAAGGACTCGGAACACCCATCATAGCAAACGGATCCAACCTCTCAGGTGGTCAACGTCAACGGATGGCCATTGCAAAAGCCCTGCTATGGAAGCCGAAAATACTGTACGTGATTCTGGCTCTCCCGCATGATTCTAGACGAGCGGACTGACAGGCAAACAGACTCCTAGACGAAGCAACTTCAGCATTAGATGCGTCCTCAGAGTATCAAGTACAACAGGCCCTACGCGAGGCAATGGCCGGTCGGACAACCATCGCTGTGGCTCATCGCTTGAAGACGATCATGCACGCAGATGAGATTTTGGTCTTCCAAAATGGGCGAATTATCGAAAGGGGGACGCATCGGAAACTCATGGAGAGGCGGGGCAAGTACTGGGAATTGGCGCAGTTGCAGGAGTTGGAGGGGTGATCCTGCCCCAGTTTATTGTTGTCTGGTCACAGTCACTATGGTCGAAGTCTAAATTTTGCCGAGCACGCGGTAGCCGAAATGTACTGTACAGTTACTGTACATGATGACCGCGCCCACATCCAATCCGCAACCAAGCCTTGGGGCTGATCTGACTTGACGAAGACAAGCATTGGCCAAGAGGCTCGTATTACCGCTGCGCTGAACAATTTCTGGGGTCGTGAGGCTGAGCTTTTTCGAGGTTCATTTCAGCGTGTCAGGTGAGATCGTCATGTATTTTCTACGCAGCATCTACTATTTCTAAGCGTAGGTCTTACGCTGTATGGGTTCGTGAGGCATTCTGGAGAAGAGAACAAGTCTGATTCTAAGGGCATTTTTAGGCCAGCAAAGCTGTAATACACGCCTGATGTACACCTGGAAAAGCAATTATCGACGAGGTCATCCCGAATTGGCCGAAATACGAGAGGTACGCCTGATGTCTCACAACCTCTACCAACGGGATTGTGCAACCTCGAATTCGATAAATATAGCAGAGACATTGTTTGTGCTTGACGTCGAATTACAAATCTGAGATGGAAATGAGCGATTTAGTTGAATTGAGCAAGCTGATGCAGCTTCGATGTCATGCCTGGATGTGTCCGAATTAAGGGACTAGAAATAACTACATAAGGGCCATCGATTCCCCAGAAGAGGCCTGATAATTCATCAACATCACCATTCAAGACAACCTGATAACCTAGATCAGCAACCATGAAGAGCATCCTCGCCCTCGCAACCTTCGCCACCACGGCCCTGAGCCAAGGCATCTTCATAAACTCCCCTGCAGCAGGCACCGAACTCCAAGTTGGAGAAACCATCACCGTCCAGGTCGCTCGCGGCGTACGATCTGCCCTTACCCTTTCTTTCTACCTGCCTTCTTCCCACATGGCCCTCACCTTACCCAAGCGGACAGAAGGCCCCTGATTGACAATCAAACGATGACAGGACTACATCCAAGCCATGACGGAAATCGGCATCGCGATCGGCATCCAATCCTGCCCCGACACTCGCCCCTGCCCTTCCCCGGACGAATACCTGCAATACGTGCTCTACACCGGCCCGTATGACCCTCAGTATGAGACGGGATTCTACGATCAGTATCAGAACTTCACGATCACGGTGCCCGACGTGACGGGACCGGCGCAGATTGGGGTGACGAGGGCTTATCTTGTTGGGGTAGGTGGTTTTCTTCTCTTTTGGTCGGGATGTGGCTGGAAGAAGCATGCATGCTGATGATGTGTTCTGGGTGTCTAGGCCGGTTATTTGACTGTTGTTGGGTCGACGGCGAGTAATTATACTATTGTGGCGTGATGGAGGGGTGGGAAATTTGGGAGGATGGGTGGGTTGAGATGGTTCTGTTCTGAGATAGAGTTCGGGATTGAGGCTGGTTTTCCAGTTAGTGCTTTGAGTATTCTGGATTTCGTGGAAACGAGAGTCATTGGAGTCGTCTTCAAGTTTACCTTTGTCTTCTTCCATTTCAAGTAGGCAAAGTCTGTCGTTGTGGAAGCAAAGCGTGGCGTAGGCAGGACCCTGGGGACCCACCCCCGGAAGGCTAACCCCGGGGGGAAGCTTATAGCATATGCTCTTTCTCCACTCAGTCGTTCCAGTACTTTAGCCTCTGTGGACTCATTTTTATGTTAGATAAATAATCAAGAGAGACACTCATAGTATAGACCAGAAGGTCCCAAGTATGCATCTGCAGACTTCGTTGTATGAGAAAAAAACCTCAAATAACTGATGAAGGATCCAATTCTTTCAAGGCATGCAACTGCCCACTGCGGCTGCCACAATCTTTCATAAATATTTGCTAAATAGGACTCCTCCCGCCCCCTCCCGCTTCTTCCCCCCATAGATGACCGACTGTGCACCCTCCCACATCTTCACTCACCAGCCGCGCCCGAGCCACACCGGGCCAGCGTGTCGAGCCGCATGGCTGCGCATTCAATCGCCAATGGCCGCGCAAAGAATTGTATGGTCTCTGTGTCGGGTTAATGTCTGAAAAAGGCGGTGAATAACGCCTGGAGCCCGACAATGGGAATACTGCCGAACGAGTTAAGCATCAGCGCATTGATGCGTGTGAATTGCGCAACGACGGGTGAATCCGCTCCTGCGCCCTCCCTCGCCCCCGGGCATAAATATCTCCTCCTTCTCCTTCTCTTCGCAGTTTCTCTTCCTTCCTTCTTCTTTCCTCCCACCAACCACCATCTTCCATCTTTCCAACTCCATGATCACCCTCCCATCTCTGGTCAAGGTTGAGGTCTATCTCATGGCTTGACTTGTTTCTTTACTTGTTCATCATCATCATCATCATCGTCAGCACCAACACTCACTTGCTTCTGTGATTCTGCTTTACTTCTATCAAGCTCTCTTTCTTCTATCGAGCTCACTTTCTGTCATCAAGCCCACCTCAACCTGTTCTACCTTTATCACATCTACCTCTATTCAGCCCACTTGTCTCTATCAAGTCCATCAAGTTGCTTCAACTTCCCACTCCCACAGTCTCTTATTCTCACTCTTCCCCTGTGTCAAATCTACACCTCATGATCCTCATCCCCAGAAGAGTTGAAAGTGATGAGCGATGCTCGCTCTACGAAGAAGCCTTCTGGTAAGTCCGGATATCTCTCTCCTCCTGACCCGGTCTGAGCTGAGTCAAATGTATCCATCTCCAGATCAAGGCTGCCACCCATCCACAGAGCCTAGAGGCTGGGTCTATGGCTACGGCCGAAATGGATTGCTTCTAAGGAAGCTGTGAAGTCAGCGGCGTGAACAGTCAGATCTTTCCGGACAAGATAGCTCCCGTTCCGTGATGCAACGAGCCTTGTCTGCGCGTTTCAGCTCATGACACAGCTCAAGACTGTCAGCGAACCGGGACTTGACTGCCTAGGAACTTGATGAGGCAAAGTGAGGTATATGATACTCAGAACTTCCCTTCCACGAAAAGAGCGAGACTGACAGTCATGGCTTCCAGTTTCGAGATCGCCTGATTATGAACCTGCACAAAGACTCTGCAGTCACGGGCGACCGAGCTCCACCAAAGTTGGACGTCGAATGTAAAGCCTTTCGGTCAGTCGACAGGGTTTGGCATGCTCATGTGCCTACTGGCATGCTGTTACCCCATCTAAGCAACGCCATCGGCGCGGAAAGAGCCACTGGCTGAGTGGCACGGCAGCCAGAGTGGATGCTCCAGCGAGTCAATATGCTGAGCTACTGAGAGGCGCCGTCAGCTTCAGCGTGGCCGTGACAAACTCAAGAAGATCACGGCAGCGCAGATTTGAATATCAAACACCAGTAAGCAAAAAGCTGAAACCTGATTGCGACCGTCTGGTAGCTGAGATCATCTTCTCCCTCCGTCTTATATCCTTCACAGGACCCAACAGAACGCCAGTTGAACGCCAGTTGACACTTGCATGTGCAAGCCCAGGCGGATCTTGCCACGCCAGCGTCTGGCTTGCTTACATCTCCTGCTCATTCTTGATCTGACTTTCTTGTCTCAATCATCTTGATCCCTTTCGCTGTATTAGCAAGTGCACCATGCTTTTCCTCAAGTCAGTGTTAGATTCTCCGGGCACAAGACATTGTCTGTGGGGCTTGCTTGGCGTTTGAGTCTCTAAAGATGTGGTGTCGATCTTTTTGACGTGACGGTCAACTCTTGTCTCTTGTTTCACATTGGGCCATGGCAATGTCTAATCTCTTCTCACCTGCTCATGACCTTTCTTGAACCTGTGCGATCTCATCGCGTCCCTCAATTTGCTTCCTGCAGTCTAGGTTTTTCTATGTCGTTTCAGTGCTATGTTCTACCTGTTGCCTGAAGCGCAAAGGCATGGCAAAGGTGAAAGAACAACCATCCGTTCACGATCGAGGTAGGGAGAGATGTACTCTCTCCCAAAAAGCGAAACTGAGATTGCTCATTCGTTTACCCTCGGGTTCGGGCACTAAGGATTGAGGCTCCTCAATCGGAGAAAGTCAGTCAGAGAGTCACACGACCAGGCCGCCCCATGAGTGGCCGTATGACCACTGCAACGCGTCTGAGTTTGACTGATCTCTGACACTTATGTCTTAGGCATCCCTGGTATTGTTCCAAGCATTTAGTGCGATACCATGATGGTCGTTTCGCCCGGCATCCTTGACTTCGATACGTCGCATCCAACACACTGATGCGACAACAGATCAGCAGCCGCATCAGTTTTTATACATGCGATGCCAAGGTTCTCCAGAGATGGCTCACTTATCGCCGTCTTTGAAGAAGACACAGAGTTCCGAAGTAGAAAATACGAAACGTACTCAACCAGACCGAGCAACATGATGGATGCCGTACACTTCCGCACCTCTCTTCCTGCGATATCCCATCTTCTCACGGGTGGGTAGGTTTTGCTTCGGTATGCAGTCTGCTGTCTGCCCTTGTCTCCTTACCCAAGACCCCCGAAACACAAGAGAACCAGATGCAAGGGTAAGGCAACCAGGCACTTAGGTGGTTCAAATCCTAACATAACTGGCATTTCTGCCAATCGCCATCGGTCGATTCGCATTAGGGAACCAGTTATGAAAATCCTCGAAGACCTGCACAAGGTGTCCAACGAACACGTTTGCTCCTTCAAAGACTCAGTCAAAGACTCCACGAGCCTGTACCTTGATTATGATGGGCGGTATCTCCTGTACAGTGGCGTAGTACAGTTCAGAGAGAGGGTGGAAAAGGCGGAGGTCGTCGTTTGTTGGCGAGTCTCAACCGAGGGCATGATGAGGAACACCGAGATCATGTTGAAGCAATGGGAGCCGATGCAAAGCGCCAGCAGCGCCAGCGTCGAAGCATTTCTTCCCATCAGCTGAAGGTTCTTTAAGGGTTTTTACAGGAGCCGCAAGAACGCACTGCGTGTCCTCCTTCTGAATACTTGCGTGTTGGCAGGATTTTTGAAATCTGGGCGTGATGGAGCGCCTATTCGCAAAGTCTACTTCCGAGGCTACCTCCAATCAATACGCTATCGATGCAGACCCCGCAAAGCCTGGTGCTTGGCTATATTGGAGCACAGGTCGAGACATGGGCAACGTCAAGGCAAGAGGTTGATATAATCTGGTCCCCACGGTGATCTTGATACAACCATCCTACTGGGTCGAATCAATTGTGAAGCTTTCATCACCACAGGTCAGGCTGCGGGCCCTGACATGTTTTATGTTGATACCACCAAGGCTCGGACTAAGATCGGTCCCTTTTGCCAACGTCGCGCCTTTGTGGTTCCATCTTCCCGTCGTTAGTTTCCTCTTACCTCCTTATCTCCCATGACTAACATTTGACTAACTTTAATGCCGATCTCAACGCTATTGCTATGGCAGTATGTTGCTTCTCGGAAGAGGATTGAGGATATGACAAAGGAGGAATTGGTCACGCTGTTTCTTCGTACATCACGGACATTCGATCCTGTTCAACAGACTCCTCTTTCTGTCGAGGCTGGCCCGTCGCCCTCCACCTCCGCGGCGTTGCCAGGGTCGGCTGTTCCGCGCCGATTGTGGGTTTTGTGACACGAGCTTCCTGCCTCCACTGTGTTACCCACTCTACTATTACTCGTCAGAGAGCATTTCGAGAGTGCATACGTCTTATCGGGTGGTTTGGAGGAGCGTGTGCGGAGTGTCTGCTTTGCGGAATCGCTGGGGCGGTTGTTCGGTCGCCAACACCCTTGAACTCCGTTTTGACCCTACCGATCTCTCTGGTCCTTCTCTCGCCGATGACTTGAATGAAGTGAATCTTCTTTCCGACTCGGAATCTGAAATTTCCGAGCTCGTCGTTCCAGAAGTCGAAACCCTCTCCCTGGTGACTTGCTGAAGTCTTCCCGCGTGGAGGCTCGATGTATAGGTTCAAAAGCCGTACCTGTCTAGGCCTCTGTGAGCCGAGACAACACCTTCGCAAATGCCAACAAGAAGATTGACTCCTGCAAGGATTCTAGCTCTCCGGACTTTTAACCTCATTATCAACAAAGGTCTCGAGGGTGTCAAGTTCACTATATTTCTGGTACAATTGCAAGATCCGATTGCCTACTCCAGTGAGACCGCGTGCTACTCAAGCTACCGTACAGTGCAATGTGGATTGTGCTCTTCAAGGATGGTAGGCGCCATTGCATACATTCTTTTATTCCCATATTAGCACGGTTTGCATAAATTTCTGTCCTTGTGCAGTCTCAATTGATTGTCTGTGTCGGAGCTGTGCTCTCTGGGTGAGAACTGCATCCGCGGGCTGGCATCCGCTGTTCTGTAGCGCGGGGACTCGCTTCAAGCTCGCCTTTCTCTGATTAATTATGCGGTCTTGATCTCTTACAACAAGCTCGTGCATCCGCCGGTATGTGATCCCCTCTTCCACTGAATGACTTCCCTTGGAGCGTCGCTGTGCAGCGTTGACTAGTCTCTGCCTCATAGCGCCCGCCCTGCGACTGTCCTGGTTTCTGATGTATTCCGCGGCGCCATATCTTCAGCGAGTCAATATGCGTCTCTCATACCACAGTCCGGAACACCCGAGAGGGGTATTTCGGAGCCATAGTCTGCTTGCAATCCGATATCAGTCGATATACACTGGACTGACGAGATGACACTCATTCTACGCGTGTCACAGTACCTGTGGCTTCTTATCAACCTGCCAACATTGCGACTATACGCTTGCGATTATGCCATGATTGAGAGCAGATAGAGGTCTATACAACCACGCTCAAGCAGGGCTGTGGGAGGGTGGCCGTGGCGGCCGTCTGCAGAGATGAAAGCAGCGTATGCGAGCCCACAATCCACGGGCAAAGCCAACCCAAGTCCACACGGGCTGGAAATAGCAGGTATAGGGCTGCTCTTGCATTGCGGGCTTGGGGATTGTTCATCGGCGCAACCACCTGCGACGAACAAACGCCCCCCGCAAGCGAATCACTACACCACTTCCACATAAAGCCTCTCACCTGCGAATCACGTTTGGGCCCTCAAACTTTGCACCCTATCTTAGCGTACTCCTGCTGCAAAGCTCTTACCCACTTTCTTTTAGGGGAAAACCTATCGAAATCATCGATCTCACTGAACACAGTGTCAGGCAAAGCGATCATCGCCTGTTCTTATTCTTCATCTTCATTTTCACATGGGGCCGAAGAGATTGATAAGGGGGCTTGTGCAGAACCCAAAGCATTGCGAGGGGAAGCCTTACGCTCACGTTCAAAACTACGAAGTTGAGTTGTTCAGCCAGAGAACTTGTAAGTCTTCCCTTTTATTTTCTCTGATTATTCAGAGCTTCATTGTCTAACAGTCCGAGCCTTCATAGGAAACTATGGCACTAATGCCACTCGATCGAGTCGCGGTGCTGACTGACTCGCATGGACAATCTCGTCAACTAAAGTGACAGCTTGATGCATCTCGCCGAAAGCTTGACGGCTAGCGCGTAGATTGCTGGCCTATTTCACTAATTCGAACCATCTTGCTGAACGATAGCAGCAAATTTCTTGCTTATCGACTAGAGAAGTCAAAGAGAATAGCCGCTGGCTTGGGCAGAGTATGCTACCCAAAATCTCAAAGAGAGACTCTCAAGGTTGCATACTGAATGACTCGGATGCCGCCGCCCTTATCCAGGAAAGGGTCTATACACAATGGCGCTCATTTCTGTTCTCTGAGAATTCATTGGGTCGCAGATCTTGAAACTACACCAGCTTATCGAGAGAAGTTTTGACTTCTTATATGCTGCCCTTAACCTCCTCCCCGCGGACCTTCACAGTCGCTGGCAGTCTGGTCATATACGATGTAAGTTGCCTGAATTTACAGGGTCCTTTCTGTCCATCAGTTGGGCTAACGATTCTGGTCCATTCTAATGATGCCAACAGTAGTGGCTGAGTCGGGGCTCTCATTATCATTAGGGATAACGACTTTTTGTGGAAGAAGAGCTCGATTCTTTGCCTCACTTCCAGAGTGAACCCCGTGGCCCAGTACAGGAGGACTTGGATAAGTTGAGCCTGCGCCGTGAGCTACAAGGATCTTGAATAGGCAGGCTCGATGAACTCCGCGGCGGTGGATCTAACACTAAGCCCTAATTCGAAGTCGTCACCTAAACTGGCGCAAATCGGATTTACCAAAGTCACCTATGCTCCTGTCTATGTACCCGCTCAATCACCTGAATACGCATTGCAGCACTCAATGTGAATACTGGCATCGAGTTCCAATTGATCAACTCCAATTAGCCAGAAGATGACCCCGAACAGGGGCGGCCTTGATGACTATATTGATCGAATGACTTGGCACCTGTAAATAGGAGCATTGCAGTGAAGTGACAGGGATTATCTGCAGTCTTAATCTGTCAGTTGGAGCCCCCAGCTACCTATTCTGCCAGCAGGTGAGCCGGTCATTGAGCTGTAACGAAGGTATCAAAACTCGCATCGCATTTGTTGTCACTGACGGCCCATCGGGCGCATCTGCGCCTACCGTTTATATTATATCGAGTAGGGGTCCGTCAATCCTAGCTATTTACCGACAAAGGAATGCCACCACTCCCTACGGCTGTCGGTCGCTTCTCCAGCACTCCACAGTACGCGGCAGTCATCGGAAGTCCTCTTCGATTCTATCCAGCCCCAACAGTCGATTCGTCTCCCGGGTACTGCCGCGGCCGTCCAACCCCAAAATCCGTCGCCATGGCTTAGGTACCCGAGTACCTGGATGACAAGTCCCTTATATCCGAAACCGAGTGCTCGAAAAAAGACGTCCGCGCTCGAGCGCCACTTTACCAGTTTGCTGGAAGTCCGGGGACAACCTCCAACCAGAGACCCGGACCATCCAATCAACTTTTCTAGGACGAATACGAGCAAATACAAGAGCAACTCATACTTCCGCGAAGCAAAACTCCCCCAGACGCGCGGCGCCATCCTGCTACGTGCTCAATCATGCCTACAATGTCAGAGAAGCTGGAGAAGTGGCAACAGTGCGTCGTTATCAATGACGAGGATCTGCCACAGTCAGCCAGCAGAATCATCTATCAATCAGCCAATGTCATCGCATGCCTATTGGCGGAACGCCGCTCCCCTCAACACGGACCCAGGATTAACGTGAAGCCGACAACGAGGAGCTTTTACGCCGACAGGCTCTTCTCCTTGCCGAGCAGGGGACGAAGCTAAATACAGAGCCGCGCGCATCGCCAAGCACACCAGATATACCCGAGAGATGGTACCGCATCGCGTCCATCACTATGGCACAGAAGCGCTAAGTCTGAACCGTTGAATTATTGTTGGGGAGTTGAGGTGTCAGCCTTGGACCAGAAACTCATGAAAATGTGGTGGAGCGCCTTTGTGGCTGTTACGACTTGACTTCCTGGATTCAATCCAGCCGTATAGCATGACCATTGTGTCCGCTATCGGTGACATGGTAGGCGATCAGTAGGTTGCTGCATGTGATGCATACTTCTGTCTGGACGAATTTCCATCGACCGAGACAAGTCGTCTAGACTGCAACTACACCTACTGCCACACGTTGGAACGGGATGAAAGAGCGAGAATGCCTCGAGCACTGGCATGTTCAATCTTTACATATGTTAACAACTTATCCCCTCGACGGAGTCAATCCTCTCCAATCTCAAACAGTCTGGTGCGTTTGCTTAACTTACCCCGGCCTGTATATGGCCGATGACAGAACTGAGACAGCGGCAACTCCACTCGGCGTACATTAATAGTTGCATAAAGAGAATTCTACATGACCTATGGTCTCAAGAGCTCTGAATCCGGCCAAGGCCGCCAAGGATCGGCACACAAGCAATCTCAGCACAGAAGGTATTACATGCAAGCTTTCAGTGAATTGGCCTGGGTTGCGATCTCGCGCTTGTAGTGATGAGCCCCGTGTGACAGTTTTATCAGATATCAAGGTCACCAGATGCAAGGATCGCGATCGCCGACAAGTCGAATGTGCGAAGTCAATTCAGTCTCCATTTTGTGCCCTCAAATACCGAGTGATGAGGTGACAAACAGAGCTGCCCTTATGCTGACAGCGAGCTCAACAACTATATGATAACCACGGTGCAGATGTAAAATGTCAGAGCCCTCGGTTAGCAGAGCGTGCGCGTCTGGAGGTTAACCGCAGCTGAAGTCGTCGAAGAGGATGTGCTCATGCTTGGCAAGCTCAAAATTTAAGGCATAGGTGAGCTTCTTCGTAACGGAGGAAGAAAAGCTACGCACCTCATAGCATAGTTGCGTTGGCACAGACAGGCAATTTTCAAATCTCCTGCCCTTCATCTTGGCTTGCGTGTTGAAGACTTCACGAGCTGGAGTTCAACATCCTGAGACGTCAGCGCTTGAAGGAAGATCCGAGAACGACTACTGGAAGCTGATCCAGATCCATTGATGGCTAGGGCCTCCTGCTTGTCAAGAAAACATCAATTTAAACCATATGAGGTCTTCGCCATAGCCCCCGATAGCTACAGACAGGCTAGCGAGCGTCCGGGCCAGGGCGAGGAATAAGACCGCACGAGCAAATTGAGACCGATGCAAGTGGCACGCATCCTGGCCATAGCGCTATCTTCCTCTGCTCCTTTCTAAGCAAATCCGGAGAATCGCAAATATCGAACGCCGATCATTAGATTGGATGTCTTAGAGACAGACACTGAGAACCCAGATCGAATAGCAACATGCTAGTTCAGCATAAAACATTTCGCGAAGTGACTCATCCCTGGATCCTTATCTCCGGGAATG